TTCCCTTTTGTTGCTGTTTACCCTACTCTGCTTCTTGAATATTAAATGAAAAGCGCGAGAGCAAAAAAATACAGCAACGCGAGAAAAATGCGAGTATTTGTGACAAGTGCAAGGTAAAAGTATACATACATACATATGCGTGTATGTGCGTTTCAGTATACATACATATGTATATGTATGTGTACATACATATGTAAGTGTAGGTGCGACCTGGTAGCAACGACCTTTGCACAAACAAAAACACACTTATGGAATGCTCTCGTATTTATTTTGAATATTTTATGAATATTAAACAAGTTTTTCTATTTTCGGCAGAATAATACACATTAAAAAAGAGAAATGCGTATATATACATAGCGCATATAGGCTATAAGGAAACTTTACATAAGAGCAGTATAAGTGTCTTTTATTCAACTTTGCAAAATGGTTTACTTATATAAAACGGATCAATGATAAGATTACTCTATGATTCTTGGACCAAAAACGTTCAATTAGTTAGTGCTTTAGTGCTGGATATTGTGTCTAAATGATTCAAACGTTTCTGAATAGTATTTGCCTCACTTAAAGAAATGTTCAATTGCAGGATTATTATATAAAACTAATTTTAATTTGGGCATACAATTAAATTAAATTTGCTTTCTTTATTTCTTGTAGAAGGCGGGCTATCCGCCGAAGAAAGATATTCCTAGATGGAGAAGAATGTGTCTAAAAGTAAGAGGGGAATCATATAATATAGAATAGCAATATCTCGTATTGAATGCAAAATTTATACCCATTTTCATTTCACACTTCACGTCAGATATATTCAAATTCGACTTTCGCCTGCATTGGCTTCTCGAAAATAATTTTCGTGATTTTTGTCGACTTTCGGTTTTTGACGGCATTGAATACTCTGTATAGATACTCTATGTCTTTATCCCATAGATACATATCTATGGAATATCCATTCACATAATTTACTTTTCTATGCATTTTTTCCTTGCAAATTTTATAATTGTTGTGACCGGTTTGCCGCAGTGCCACGTAAATTTCAAGGCACTTCCATTAACGAGTTGATTAAAATTTCCATTTTTCATTGCAAGCACCGAAACATCCAAATCCATCCCTGAAAAACAGGGCGATCTGGAAAACCAGTTTATCCCAATCCCATCCAATGCAATCCTTCAATTCCAATCTCTTTTACCCCGTCCGAAAGGATCGCTGTGCCAACAGCTTTTGGTTAAACATTTCACGGGGGCATGCAACAGTTAAAAAGGCTTTATATAAGTATGCAGAAAATAAGGAAAAAAAAGAAAAAAGAAAAGGGAACACCCAGCGCTGGGTGGGCATGGTGGGGATGTCTGGGGGTGTGTGTCTGGCTGGGGCAGGTGCAAAATGCAGTGGCAAGTGTAAATGAGGCAAATTTCAAAGTCAAGTTTACACGCAGCAAATGCTTTTGTGCATCAACGCGCTCTGCCGCCACCTCGGGGCCCTGGGCCTCGTCCTGCTGCTGCTCCTCCTCCTCCTCCTCCCTCTGCTTCTGCCGCCAAGTCGTGGCTCACGTTTTGGTCCAGGGCCAGGGCTTCTGTCTCGCTGGCTGAACACCTTTCTCAGTGTGCTCCTTCTTGCCTGCTCTCTCTAGCGCATGCACCAGTTGCGACTGCATAAGAAATGCTCGCCTTTCAGTACACCAAACGTCATATTTTTAGGTTCAATGCCAGATCTAGATATTGAGGATAAGTCTTGCTGCACAATTTTTAATACAGCATAAACTAAATTATAATAATCAAACATCCAACATTTAAGGGGAAAAAACTTAATTCAATAATTTGATTCTACCTTGTCACTTTATTTTTCCAACCAGCTGCTGTTATTAAAACTGCAACTTTGGGGTTCTTCAATCAAATAATAATTCCCTACACAATCATTTCTGCTATTAAAAATAAATAATTGATTTGTATGCTTTATAGCATTTAGCATATAACGCATGTCCACTAAATAAAAGCCACATCCTGTTGAATATACATTTAGAATCCATTAACCCTGTTAACTGGAGCAAAGTTTTGCTTCCTATGTGAATGTTAAGCACTGTACAGACGCCTGGAAATTCGATGCGCTTTACATTTTTTTTCGACAGCGACTTCTCTCGTGAATTTTATTATGCCACACCGCCCCACCACCACCTAGTGAGGCCCATCTACGAGTATATATGAACATACATACATACATACGTACATATGTATATAGGCAGTAGTAGATGGGGGCAAAAAATGAGCATTTATAAAAAAGTGAAAATGATTGCAGTCTCTGGCAGGTCCAATGCTTTAACACTCTTTAACTTGAATACTTTTAAAATTTCTTAGCCCAGCAAAATTACAATTTTCAGCGGCTTCCGAACAGATGAGGCACCACAAATATTTATATATTTCTATCTATATTTCAGATTGAATGATGGGTATGATGGGGTCATATATTCACTGTTTAAATTTCACATAAGCGTGGACACATTTGCCATGGTTTGACCTTAACCCCCGGGCCGGAAATGCAAATGAGGTATTTAAAAATGTTTTAAATTTGTTTAAAATTACACAAATGTTAGAGTTTTAGATCGAAAGTATTGGATCTTGGATCGAAAGCATTCCGAAAGAATTGCAATCAGTAAAATCAAGAAAATACATAGAAGAACTCATGCGAAGATTCCCACTGCAATTACATGTATGTATAAAATGTTTAAAAACAGGAAACGTGGACGTGCCAGTGGGAGCACTGACATTGTGCTGGTAATGGAACTGGAATCATACCGATCTTGAATTCATATTCATAATTCAACTCAGAATTCCTGTCACTGACCAAATTCGTGATGCCCCATGGGGGAGAGGGTATATCCCTCACAAGAGAAAAAATAAAAAATGCAAGAAATGTTCTAAATCTGATGCAAAAAAAATGGAAAAGTGAAAGTGTAAAGAGCAGAAAGCAAAGAATGAAAACAAAGAGTGAAAGATGGGTAGGTGAACGGTGGATGGTGGATGGTGGAGAGCTCTACTGTTAAGGAGGGTGGGGCGGGGGGATACTCTGACGACAAGTTGGGGAATTGAATTATGAGTTTGACAAGCGGCACGGAGCAGGACACAAGAAAGGACGTCGAATAACTCATCAGAAGGTTCCCAGAGATTGGCGGGCAAGCACTGCAATTACATAAATTCTCTGTACATATGTATGTATGTACTTACAGCATTTACATACATATGTATGTATGTACATATGTGCTGTAAAGTAACGTTAGATCTCCCACATATGTAAGTATGTTTGCAGCCCGCCCTCTCCATCTCTTTTGCCGCTGATGTAAATTGATGTAAAAGCAGCAAAACTTTCATTTGCCTTTCGTAATTAGTTGAGAGTCGTGTCCTGGCGAAGGCGACCTACGAGCGGGTGAAAAAAGGGATACATACACACATATGTATGTACATACGTGTAAATGCTGGCACACACAGGCACCACAGCGTACGTCTGCGCGTGTGCGTGCGTATATGTACCACACACACACGCATAGAGTCCTGCGGGTCTGCAAAATATGTACATAAACGGCCACACATCGCACACATGAAACTCTCTTTCACTCTCTCTCTTTCTAGCTACCCCTCTCTTTCTCTCGCACTGCTATATCCTTTTCTGACGCACACTCATACGCACACGAATAACCGTTATCCACATGTGTATCACACACATAAACGCGCTCGTATGTGTGAGTATAGGGGTGAAACGACGTCCGTGAGAGGATAAACTGAGGACATCATTATGGGCGGGGCCCAAACTCCCACAGAGTTCAAAGGAGAGTGACAGCGAGAGCGAGAGAGAGAGAAAGGGACATAGAGGGAGGTGGCTGCATTTAAAAATAAGAAACAACAAAAGGCTGTGGGAATGCGTGGGTGATGATTGTTAATGCCTCCCCCTTTAACCCACGCTTCTGTTACCACAACTATAAATAATTCCGCTGGTGGCTACTCTGATTGTTTTGCTAGGGACATGCATCCATAATGAGCCGTACGGGGTACAGATTTATAAAGAACTAAAATATATTACCCGCAAGGACATTCAAATTAAGCTTCAGGCGCGCCAAACAGAAAAGCTTTCGACATTTAAAAGACTTTCCAAAAGCTTCAGCAGGTTCACGCCAAAGGCGCCAGATGGCGCCTAGTAAGATCCCACCTATCGAAAGACCTATCGAAATCACTGCAGCTGGAACCGATCAGTGCTGCCATTTCAGCTTATTGAAGGCTATCCATAGCAATTTGGTATGATTTTATGAAATTGTGAATTTTGGAAAACTCTATTAAAATGGAAACATAAAGACGACAGCGTTAAGTTTTGGGCAGAGGTGCTAGAAAAACAACTTATTTGAGCCACTTGCTATAATTTCGATTTATAAGCTCTGCCTCTCTTGGTCTAATGCCAACATTGAATGAATTTTCATGCGAAATAAAACTTTGAATGCAATATTAAACAAAAGTCTTAAAAATTAATAATTAAAAATAAAATGTTATGCCAGTTTTGAATTTAATAGCTAATAATGACAATGTATTTATGTTTTTTTGGCATTATCGGAGTTATCTTTTTAGCTCTATATACGAATCTTGCTTATTGTGATCCTGAAACTCTGGCAGCACTGTCTTCAGCCGATCGCGCCAAGCCAATATTTCTCTAGGGTTTCAGTGTTGGTCACACTGTCGCGTAAACAAACAAAACGAGAACGAAAAACGAAAAATTCCAAAAAAAATTCTTGAAATAACAATTGATTTTTTATCAATAAATACCAACGGAATTTTTTAGGAAACAATCAAAAAAATCAAAATCATATAAAGCGGAAGCCAAACGAAGCGGATAAACTTTTCCACTCTACAAAGATAATCTGCATAGGGAATTGTGTGGTGTGTTTGTTGTGCCGAGGGGTGGTGTAGACAGGAGGAGGAGCAGGCAGAAACAAGTTTTGGATAACGACAACGGGGGGTGGGGGCAACGACAGCGACAACGACAGCGACAGCGGCCCCAGAGGTGGCAGACATCAGCAGAACCAGAGCGCGGCAGCGGCCGAGGCAGCGGTGGCAACGATAACAAGAACGACGCGAAAGGTAGTTAACGACTTGACAGGGGAGCCGCCGCCGCAACAACAACAGGAGCAAGAACAAGCATAAGAATAACAAAAACAACGTTGCGTGGCAGCCAAAAAGAGAGGGAAGAGAGCGACAGAGAGGGGAGACGGCTGCAATGGTCAGAAGCTGAGAAACAAGAAACCGAGAACCGTGAGAGAGGAACAGGTTCTCTGCATCAGCATCAGTCGCAGCAGCAGCAGCGGCAACGGCAACGGCAACGGCAATAGGATCTGCATAAAGGGAAACCAGAGATAAGATCGATTTGCAGTGGGACAGACAGACGGACGCACGAGATACGAGATGCCACTGCTCCTCCTCCTACTACTGTTGATGATGATGCTCCTCCTGCTCAACCCGCTGCCAAATGCCAGGGCCATGCTGTTCGCCAGCAACATTTCCACCTCCAGCAGCAGCTCTAGTTCCAGTTCCCCGCCAGAGATGCCGCCGCCGCCCACATTCCGGCAGTGTGAAACCATACGGATTGAGATGTGCCGTGGGATCGGCTACAATGAGACCTCCATGCCCAATCTGGTGGGCCACGAGCTGCAGACGGATGTGGAGTACACGCTGCAGACGTTCGCGCCGCTGATCGAGTACGATTGCAGCTCCCAGCTGAAGCTGTTCCTGTGCGCCGCCTACGTGCCCATGTGCACGCCGAAGGCGCCGGTGCACGCGATCGGCCCCTGCCAGAGCCTGTGCGAGTCGGTGAGGATTCGCTGCCATCCCGTGCTGCAGGGCTTCGGCTTCCCCTGGCCGAAGGCCCTCGACTGCGATCGTTTTCCCAGGGAGAACAACCACGAGACCATGTGCATGGAGGGGCCCGGCGAGATGCATTTGCCCATGCAGGAGCATGAGCTCTACGGACCAGTTGCTGGCGGAGGCGGCATCGGCGCGGGCGGAGTGGGAATGGGAGGCGGCAAACTGCCACTGGACTGTTCGGGACTGGGCAAATCCCATCTGTATGTGAAGCTGCCGCGTTCCGGTCGCTGTGCACCGCTCTGCGAGGCAGATATTCTTTTCACGCCCAGCGAGAAGCATCTGTCTGAGATCTGGGTCTCCACCTGGGCATATGCTGCCCTCGGCCTGGCCTTTGTGGCCACTCTGTGCCTCCTCGTCGGCGACGACAGCAAGCTGGCCAGCGCCAAGTGGTCGCGCCTGCTCACACCTTCGATCTGGTGCCACAACATGGTCACCATCGGCTGGACCGTACGCTTTATCGTTGGTCGCACGGGCACCGCCTGCGGCACTGATCCCCAGGCGCCCAACGAGTCCCTCCTCAGCGTCGATGGCCTGTCCAATGCGGCCTGTGCGAGTGTCTTCCTGCTGCGCTACTACTTCGGCATGGCTGCCTGTGCCTGGTAAGGATGGCTCCCATCATTTCTGACTCCCTTCTAATCCCCTGTGATATCCGCTTGCAGGTGGGCCATCCTGTGTCTGGGCTGGCATCGGGATATACGCCGCCACAGTCCCGATTCAAAGGGGCACGTGGCCATTCCGTCCACCTACGGCGGCAGTCCCGTCAGCCAGGCCGCCTCTTACAGGATGGCTGCCAAGGCGAGTGCCCATCAGAATCTGGCGCAGAATAATTTTGTGTGCTTTGTGGCCTGGGGCCTGCCGGCCTTCCAAACGGCCGCCGTCATTGTGTTCCGCTATGTGGATGCCGACGAATTGCTGGGTAAGATGCGCACGATCCACCATGGAGATTCCAGCTAATCTGTGATTCGTGGATTCCTTTGCAGGCGCCTGCTTTGTGGGCAACCAGTCGGACAGGGCCCTGCAGGTGCTGGTGGCCACGCCAGTGTTCATCTACTGGATCTTTGGCTCAATGAATCTGATATCCGGCTACCTGGTGCACTGCCGCAACAAGGAGATTCTGCGCAACACCAACTCCCTGAGTCTCCAGCAGCAGCTGCAGCAGTTGAGTGCGCACAGCAGCTCCGGCATTGGGATCTTTCTGTTCATCTACGGGCTGGCCAGCGCCCTGCTGCTGCTGGCGGTGATCTATGAGTTTGCCAACATCGACATCTGGCTGAGTTCGGGGGAGACGAGCACACCGCTGTGGCCCTTTCTGGTGCGCGCCTTCATGGAGCTGATGCTGGGCATTTGCTGCTTTGCCTGGGTCCTCGGTCCCAGCATATCCACCATGTACAAGCGCCAGATATCGATGCGTCCACAGAAGCAGTCAGCCGCTGCGGCGGCGGCAGCACCAACAGCAACAGGAGCTGCAGATGCACCATTTGGATGGTCAGAGCAGCTCCCGGGGATCGCATGCCGCCTGCAGCAGCACCGTTGTCTCCTATCATTCGGTGCGACCCTCGCATCAGTCTATGGCCAGTGCCCCGCTGCCCAGTCCCTACAAGCACAAGTCCCCGCCGCCAGGAGCCGGCTCCATTTCGCTCAATCAAATATCAAACTACACCTTAGGCCGCAGCACTGGCTCCCATCATCATCTTCACCATCATCATCAGCCGCAGCAGCACCATCATCGTCACAGTCCCCAGCAACTGCAGCCACACCACCATCATCAACATCATCATCATCATCAACAACAGCAGCAGCAGCAGCAGCAGCAAAAGCATAAGCAGCAGCAGCACTCTTCCTCCTCCCATCGTTTGTATTATCCAGCGGGTAGCCAGAAGTACAGCCACCACAGCAACTACTATCCCCAAATGCATCGCTATGGGGATGAGACGCTGCTCTAAGGATGGATGGATGGATTCCTCAGCTAGTAGAAAGGGTTAACTAAATTATGTTTTGGAAAATTGTTATATCAATGGATGCCACGCCCACTCGGCTGTGTGGGATCATTCCATTGAGTGCTAGTCAAAATCAATGCGTTTCGCCTTATCGCAATCCCCACCCCCCCTACCATTTGTTGTATGTACTGTGTATATATCCCTACCCTTTATTAGGATCCTCTTTTCGTATTCCCACTCGTATTCCCTTCCCTTGGTGTTGTACTTAATTCGTAACCATTCTTGCCTTTCTTTTGTATTCTCTTTTTTTTTTTGTTGATGGAGTAACAACGCAGCTACCAAATACTGTGATACGCATGTTCATGTCCTCAAAAGCAGAGGCCCCGAGACTTTGCTGTGTCCTCCTACCTCCCGCACTCCCTCCCTTCCTCTTTCTCCTCCCTCGCTCGACCCACAAATCGAACCGAAAGTGTACTTAATGGGAACGCAATCGTATTAATGTGTAATGCTAGCATTAATTCCTAAACTGTATTCAGTGTGCCATTAGCTTTAAGGGGAATACAAAATACAATATTACACACACACACATATATGTATACATATATATATACCTATATATATCCTCGATATATTCGCATACTAATCGATGATTTGTTTTTGTAGTAATTGTATTTCTTTTATTTTAACTTATTTGCTAGCGAATAAATTGTGTCGAAAAGTTGAATATCATCCGCGTTTTGGTTTTACCATTTTGTAAAAAGGAGTATCAAAATCTCTCTCTCACTCTCTCTTCCCTCTCTCACTCTCTCTCTCGGAGCTTTTTCCCACCTGATGAGCAAGCGAGTGAGTGAGCGAGCACCTACTATTGTGGGCCCTGCTGCTGGGTTTGGGGCACTTGTGGTGCCGGTACCCCCTCGCTGCGTGCTGGGGCACACAGCACGACAGTCTCGTTGCGATTCATGTTGTTGTGATTGTTGTTCTGCAACTGCTGTGGCAATGTCCAATTATTGTCAAGGTCCTCGTCGCCTTGGATTTTGGCCCTTTGGTAGCTCTCCATTTCGGTGGCATATTTGGTGTTGGTGATGCCCAGCAAGGAGGCCAAACCACCGCCCACATAGTCGATGCCGGCTAAGAATTTATTGCCCATGCGGCTGGCCTTGTAGCGTAGGCGCGGCCCCAACGCCATTTCGCGCTACGAATGAAAAATGAGTCACGTTAGTTCGATTGGTGGCAACATATGGCAAGGAGCAAGAGAATGACGCACCTCGTCCAACTGTACATTGTAGCCCTTGTCGGGCACATCCGCCTCTGTCTCGCTATCGCTGGATGAGGAGAGCTCCTCCATGACGCCGTCACTGAAGTACAGCATCCGTCGATTCGATTGCAGTTCAAGGGCGGATACATTATCGGTCTCGCTGATGCTGCCGCCGCCACCAACGCCGCCGCCGTTTCCGGCGATGTAGCCATTTGCTGAAGCCACCGACATCCTAGTGGTAGCAGTGCAGTTCCTAATCCTAATCCTAGTCCCAATGGCACGGCACGGCACTTAACAAAGTTGCTGATGATATTGATGAATACTTAGTGCTTTGAATGTCGCGCACGGAGTGAGTTTTTGTGTTGTGTGTGATGTCCGTTTGGGTTTGAACGGGCCGACACAGCCGCTGTTGTTTTGGTCATGAAAACACGTTACAGTCGCTTCACCAAATACAGCGAGGGGGGTAATGATGTCCTTGGTTTCGGGGCCGGCGACTCACAATCGCCTTGCATCGCGTGCCATGGGGGCATTCTCAGTAGTGTGCAAATCAATAAATTAAATGCCGCTTCTTCTTCTTCTGCTGGCCGGCTTAAAACCAATAACGATAAAAAATACGACACTTAACCCACTTAAAACCCCTCTATTTAAAAAGTGGTGCCCACTATGCTACACCGCGGAAAATAATACTGTTTGTAAAGGCTCGTTGTAGCTCCATCCTCCTCTTTACTTACAAAACAAAAATGACCACCGACATCTTTCACCTGTAATGCGTAAAATATTTTAAAGTTACATCAATTTCGTGAAAATATCAAATACCCCCCTGGTCGACAATGGGATAATGTTGTATTTTATTGATTGAAATCGTATTCCATGATTTTGATATTCAGTTTAGTATTACTAGCTAGTTGGCCATCTCAGCCCTAAAAGAATAATTTTATCCGATAGATACATCAATTTTCTACAAGATTGGCTAGTTTTCAAAAGTCCTTTTTTTAATTGTTTACATAAAAGAGGTTCAAACAAAAACGGCCAAAGCATAAAACGAAATGTTTACTAACTGTGACGTTAATGTTGCTGGTCAACCAAGTTTCTTATATGCGTATGTACTTTTGTATACCTTATTTCCTTTAATTGATGTTAAATTTTGTTGTTCCAAGTTCCATTGAAACATTAATAATGATTCTATCCTAGATTGACATGTTTTTTACCATTTTATACCAAGAAGCTGTTCAAAAATACCAGTATATACCATGATAAAATAAAATACTTTTCGGATACTTTTCTAGTATCCATCGACAATAGCATTTTATATGCCCAGGCGATGCTGATCACGGTCACACCTAGCAGCTGATTGTAGTTCTGTCTTCTTCACACCATTTGCATCGTCTACAAAAAAAAAGAAAAACAATTGCTTCCATTGCGGGGCAGGCAGCAAAGTTGCGTCCAATAATGGAGTCGCCTACGTTTTATCCAGTGGCCAAGGGTAACGTATCCAGCATCGCCATTGAAGGCCTGCGCGACTAAGCCACTGCCTCATTAGATTTTCAGGTCACAGGCATCTCGCGGAGTGGACGCGTGCGCAAAAAGTCATCGAAACTGTTGGACTTCGAATCCCCGGAGGAGGTTGAGAAGAAGGCAAGACGCGGCCAGGGCAGGCCGCCAGCCAAGTATCCAGGTCGAGGTCGCCCACCCAATGCCCTGAGGGAACGGGAGGCCGAACTGGAGCGGGCACTCGAGCATGAGATGCTGTTTGATGATCACAATCTATCCGAGACAGAATTACACATACCCGCCCCGACAATGGGCATCGTGCTGATGAACTCCGACGACGAGCTGGACAACCTGGTGCAGGATCTGGTCGACGGCGTCGAAGCGGAGGCCACCAACAACGAGTCCACCATGCGCCAGAGCCTCTACATGCGCGAGAAGACCAACAATCGCAAGATACTCAAGGCTGGCAAAGTGGTCACCGGAAAGCCGTATCGCAAGGACAAGGGCAAGACGCGATACACAGCCTACAGCCTGTGGGCGCGTGAGATTCGCAAGAGGGACTTCCAGGATCTGGGTAAGTGTTGGAACCCTGATTGACGGGCCATGGCAGGAAATCAGAAATCAATCCTCTGACTCGAATCTTTGTATGCTCCCCAAGACTTTTCCAATGCCGCCAGACGCCTCAGCGAGCTGTGGGCGAATGTTTCGAATAGGGAGAAGATTGCCTGGCGACGGAAGGCAAAGGTCCAGTCCACAAAGGCCCGGGCACGCGAGAAGAACGGTCTGCCGCCCCTGCCCACAGCCAGCAATGGTAGCACAGCAGCCCCAGAGCCGCCACTGCCCGAGGGGAACTTTGTGAACCGTGCAACGACAAGTCGCACCCGGAAACTGGCCGCCGATCGACTTGAGTCGGCGACTACGGCGCCATCAACACAACAACCGACGACGCCGCCAGCGACATTGACTGGTGGACCGAGGCGCAACACAACCCGCAGCTGCAAAGGGCGTCTGCCATCGGCTACCAGTAGATCTTCGACTGGGAAAAAGCCACCCGCCGTGCTGCACTCCCCCTCGGACACAGAGCTGTCGCCGGGAACGGGAACGGGCACGGGAAGCCAGCGGGAATACCAGCTGCCGTCGGAGAAATCCAATATCGCGGCTATCGATGCGGCGGCCCACCTCAAGCTGCTCGGCGAGAGCCTTACGGTGATCGGGGAGCGCCTTAAGAAGCACAACGGACATGTGGCCCTCTCGGGCAGCCTCTCCGTGCTGCTGGACAGCCTGCTCTGCTCCATGGGGCCGCTCCTCTGCATGACCACGCAGATACCGGGCCTCGAGAATAAGCCCCAGCTGCGGAACAATCTGGCCAATACGCTGGACAACATTGCATACGTGATGCCAGGACTCTGAATGCTACACACACACACACACACACACAGTACACTTCCAGCCAACCAAACTTCCACACGGCCAACAGACAGAGCGACAGAGTGGAGTGGTGTGGAGTGGAACGGAATGGAATGGAAGGGGGGGAAATCTTCTGTATCATCATGGACTGAGCTTCGAGGGAGCTTCATGGCAAGCGGCAGGCGGCACGGTGTATACATACATACATACATACATACATATTTATGTAAATTAAGTATTAGATGATTATTTTAAGAATGTGGAATATGTCATGGAATACTCTCTCTCCTCCTTCGTTTCTCTTTTCCCTTAAAGGCCTTGCTACACGAAGGGAAATATTCCAGATATAATCCAATCCCATTCAAATGTTGTAGAAGGAAAACCTTTCCCACACATATTTGATACTCGATAGAACATCTCATAGAACAGAGTGTATCTAAGTTTTTAGGTTGGACTACGATCCTTGATAACCTTAATAAATTAATTTGCCCTAATTTGAACAAGGAATGCCATACAGCGGCACCGAGAAATAAATCTCGGGGGGATAGATCCCTTTTATTGCATAAAAAACAATTGAGTTGGATTCGCAGGCAAGGCATAAAAGATTATTTTATAGCATGGAAAGCAAGTTGGATACAAGTGAAAGTTATTTATTATTCATTTTCATCTAATATAGGAGTTGAGATATTCTCTTAGCTCAGGCAAAGTCTGCCCCACAGGAGATTCTTCATAGTTTCATGGCAACTCATTCAAAGTATTCCCTGCACGAAATCTCTTTAGATCAATTCTCCATTAATTCTCTTTGCCCCATTGTGTTGCTCGAGTGGCATGAATGGCCTCCACTCCGCTGTTTGCTCGTAAATTAGAAACAAATTGGCCAGCTATCAAAGGACAGAGAGTGGGCAACCATAAGGACTTGAATGATTCTGCTTTCAAAAACCAGAAAATGGAAATAGATTTCCCTAATTGGCAGAAGATCTAGCCACACTTTAAATATATATTTATTTTCCTCTTTGGTAACAATTAAATAAAATTAAATTTAAATTGTAAATTTAACGAACTACTTCGGGACGCATTGACTCCAAGCAGTGATAAAAAAATATCTCCGATTTCCGCTTTTGATCACAGTGCTCGTGTCCCATGGACCAGGTCAAGGGCATAGGCAAAGAGCTGCTCATCACCGCTGATGGCGCACTTTGTGATCGTCTGATCCATCGCGGCACTGCTGTAGATATTGCAACGCTCGCCTTTTTTCCAGAAATTGAATTTTTTATCGGAACCAACGGTGGCGATGCTCTGGTGTATGGGATGCACCCGCACATCGTTCACCGCATAGATGTCACATGAGGAGTCGTCACTACTGTATTGGCGATGGCACGTCAAATCGTAGTTCTTTCGGTTCTCGGTGGTATCTGGGATGTTCCGCACATGCATGAGACCTTTTGTGGTGACGGCGACGTATCCGGTGGGACGTTGGTTACTCTGGAAGACGGCAATCGCTCGGACCTGCTGCCCGTCGGTTTGGTGCTCGGATGACTTGGTTAGATCCTCGCGGCTCAGTTCGAAGGGGCCATTTTCCAGGGAATAGCTGATGATGTTCTGGTCGGCACAGGCCACCACGGCCAGCGGATATAGCACATGGGCAGCGAAGCATCGCTCCGGCAGTCCAAAGCTCACCACGGGCTGGGGATTGCGAATATCCCAGAACTTGACGGTCTTATCCTACGATGCAGTCATCAGGAGGGGTGACCTGGGAGTCCACAGCCAGTGGCAGGAACGAACTCCCGCTGAATGGAACTGCTTCTGAGAGACGTTATTGGTGTCCCGGTTCCATTCATACACACTGCCGCCGACGTCGCTCGCGTAGATGCGATTACCGTCACCATTCCAGCTGACATCCAGGAGCGGAGCAGACAGCTTCTGCAGGCACTTGGCGGTCGTGGTCTCACTGTTGGCATCCACTTCCCAGACACAAACGGTCTGGTCTGGCAACTGGGAGTGAATTCGAGTGCCGATACCGCATCGCTGGGAGGTTCAAAGGCCGGAAAACCCTTTAAAAAATTATAACAATAGTCGGTCATTTTGTTAAAGTGTACAAGGCGGTCCTTGGTTTATATTTGAAAATAATTTTGGTTGATTTGCTTTGTTTTAGCTCTAAGAAAAACTTTTTGATGTCGACTATTGAAATTCCGACAGTCAAACTACAAAACTAACCGATATCTGCATCGTTTCCAAAACTACTAAAGGTTTGATTTGAACTGATATAAAAATATAATCAGAATCAGTTTCAGTTTCAGAAAGGACAATAACTGATCCATTCATTGGATCCTTCCCTAACTTCGAACATATAAAGTGTATATATATATATTCGCGATACTTATACGAGTTTACCTCCAGATGGATGTCCGAATATCTTGTCTTGATTCATTTCGAGAGAATGGAGATTTGAAATGCGGCGGACATATTTTAAATTCAATGGAAGGGCCTCGCCTATAGCTGCCAGCAGATGGAGCTGTACCGTTTACCGTTGACGGTACTTCTCGACATATTTTGACGTTAATTAATTAAATTAAGTTTCATAATGAGAGCTTCTTATGGAGAGAGTTATGTATAGAGGAATCTAATCTGCGTCAAAATATGTCAATACGAGTCAATTCATTGTTACTTAGGTTTCAAAGCAGCTTGGAAAACAGAAATTTAATATTTAACATTTAAATTGGGTATACAAAGTGCCATACTCCACAAATATGTAGCTACCGTGTAGTTACAATGTAACTTTTTTTTTTTTTGTACTTTAGCTTAAACCTTATTTTATAAGTAATCCAATAAAAGGGAGTACTTAAAATTGTCCAGATTGTAGAAAGTTGATTCGTCTATTGGATAAAATTATATTTCCAGTTTTTAAAGTCTTAAATAGCTTGTAATATTAAATCAAATATCAAAATTGATTAATATGATTTTCCTCGGTATATAATGAAAAGTAACTGTATATTTGAGTATATTTTTGGGGGTCAGGCAGTATTTTGTAGATAAATCCGCGGTCACACTGGCGGTGATAAGATTGGCTTGAAATTATTGGATTGCCATCAAATTAAGCAACCTTAAAGCCGTGCCCGCAGAGAAGTGCACAAAGATCTGCCTGCTTGAGGATGAGCCACCAGCCGGCGAGCAAACGGAAGAAACCTGTCGAACTGCCGCTGTGCTGCGGCTGGCGGGACTGCCAGGAGATTTGCAATGGCGAATGGAATCTAAACAGCCACATTGCCGAGCACCTGGAGACATATGCGGCCGAGCAGCAGCAGAACGCAGCAGAGGAGCATGCCTGCAGATGGAACGACTGCGTCTTCCGGACAAACTGTGCAGTGGAGTTCGAGCGCCATGCGTACTATCACGGCTACTACAGCCAGCTGCTGCTCCAGGGCAAGCTCGAGTGCGACCTGCATCCGGAGATACCCGCCTGCTGTGCGCCCGCCCGCATGGCGGACAAGCTGCCCGATCTCAAGCAGAACTTCCACTGTGGCTGGATGGACTGCAATCGCGAGTTCGTATCGATTGTGGAGTTCCAGGACCACATCGTCAAGCACGCCCTCTTCGAGTACGACATCCAGAAGACGCCCGACGATGAGCGGCCCAAAACGCAGTGCAACTGGAATCTCTGTCACAAGCAGATGGACAACAAGTATCGCCTCATCGAGCACATCAGCACCCATTCGAACAAGAAGCTTGTGGCCTGCTACCACTGCGGCGAGGTCTTTCGCACCAAGACGACGCTCTTCGATCACTTGCGTCGCCAGCCAGATAACAACAGTGAGTCCCTTGAGTCCACGAGTCTCCTGTTGCGCCAATACTAATCCATTGTTTTGTGCCTGCCTTGCAGCAAACAGTTTTCAGTGCGCCCAGTGCTTCAAGTTCTTTGCCACACAGAAGCTGCTGCGTAGCCATGTGCTGCGGCACATCAATGGCTTCAAGTGCACCATGTGCGACATGACATGCAGCTCGGCCAGCGGCCTGACCACTCACATCCGTTATCGCCACCTAAAGGACAAGCCTCTGAAGTGCAACGAGTGCGAGAAGCGATGCGTGCGCGAGTCGGATCTGGTCAAGCATGTGGAGATCGTGCACAACAAGACCGTGCACCAGTGCGAGCACCCGGACTGCCAGTACTCGGTGCGGACATACGCCCAGATGCGGAGGGTAAGCTTAAATACCTACCAAATGCCCCTCGGTTCTCAAGCTCTCTTCTCTCTCTCTCTCTCGCTTTGCCCATTTGCAGCACTTCCTGGAGGTGCATGGAAACAATCCCATTCTGTATGCCTGTCACTGCTGCGAACGCTTCTTCAAGAGCGGCAAATCGCTGTCAACGCATTTGATGCAGAAGCACGGCTTCCGACTGCCATCGGGGCACAAGCGCTTCACATACCGCGTGGACGAGAACGGCTTCTATCGGCTGGAGACGACGCGTCTCGAGAGCATGGAGGTTACCCAACAGATTCTAGCACCGCAGTCGCATCCCACCAACCCCATCCATGACGGGGCTGACGTGAAGCCGTCGTTGACGGGGGGCAGCTGCTACGAGATTGTGGACCCAACGAACACTGAATTCGGTCGCATCATTGTCTCAAACGATCCGGACGAGGCCCAACTCGTGGGCGAGGTCATCATATCGCTACCCACCCTCATTGACGAGCTCTGAGGGTCCCAAAAACGCACATCCACACCTAGAATTTGAAAAAAAAACTCATCATGCTATGCAAGGGCTGTTCTCCATTGTCATACCCATAGATACATAGATAATTAAGGATGCTTCTACTCCCCCCTGCACGTTTTAAGCATAAGTTCAATGTCATGTCACACCCATCCCATATCCCATCCAAGTGTTCAGAGAAATCCAATCTCTGATTTTTTATTAACCGTCTCTCTGATCTCGTGCCCTGGCGCACACAAACCACAAAACTCAAAATCATATAGATCCTTGCTACAGACTTGCCCAGATCTTCCAGCGAAGGATACATGTGTGTCTTCTCTAGACGGATTGGAGGGTCTATCGCGTCCGCATGCCTGTGTGCTTATTTCCGAGTAATATTCGCTGCTTAACTCACAATTTAATCGATTAAGCGTACATTTTACATTTATTTTGAACCATTTCTGACTGTCTTCAGTAGCGTCTCTTTAACGTCTGTACGTATTAAGCTATGTATGTATAAACACACAAAAAAAACCAATCAAATTATATCAAGCCAAGGATAAAACAAGGCCAAATACCATTAAATATATCGCGTGGTGTGTTTATTTATCATCATAAGCAGCAAATGTTCAAAGAAGACCTATAAATGGGTTTTAATTTTCTGGTGGCACCCAAATGGGGGGTGGAATGTGCGGAATACGCGTGAACGGAGCTGAACCAAATCCACGCAAATTTCAATGGCTGTCTTCCGGCAGCGGGTTTCTCCAATCCAATCCGATTCGATTGTGTTCCTAACACGCACAACAGGCAGACTTTGGTTTTGTTCATTTTCGGGCGCCTTTTCTTGGTTTTTTTTTTGTTTGTTTGTTGCAATTTACCTCTGCGAGGTTATGTGGAATCACTTGAAAAAAAAATTAAACACATCGTTTTTGTTGTACGGTTTTCATATTGGTTTTTTAATATTGAGAAGCTTAAGACGACTCGATTTCAAATAGAATATTGTGGGTTTGCTCATGTCACGAAAACAAAAAAAAACACATCGCGGGACGCGTTCCTTTTGGGAGTTTACTTGGCATGGGTCTGAGCCTTCCTCAGCTGGGTGAGGATGTTGGACAGCTCCTCGCGCTTCCTCTTGGCACGGATGTGTGTGCCCAGGCGGCGCTTCAGGAACTTCAGAGCGCGCTTGTCCTTGGACACCTTCAGCAACTCCATGGTGCGCTTCTCGTAGGGGGCATGGCCCACAACTTCGCGGACCAGGTCGCGCATGAACTTGGTGTGACGAGTCTGGATCTGTAGGTGGCCGATGGACGGGAGAGGAAACCGAGATATTAGTCAATGTAAACAAAGGGCGGACAGGGCATCAACAAAAAGTGCAGTGCCGGGGAATACTTACGTTCTTCAAGCGAGATCCACGCAGACCCTTCACCTTCTTGTCTCCGGTGTACTTAACATTCTTGACTTTGGTGGTCTTGTGGCCCTTGTTGAGGCCAATGCAGAGCTCGTAGCGGACAGCCATCTTCACTGAAACAAACAAAAAAAAGCACAACAAATTAAATAAACATTTGTTTTTCAGCCCTGTTTCAATTGATTCGGGCAAAATATTCAGTTGATAAACTGTGTTTACATCTTAACTTGGCACTAAAATTACAATTCACACAAACAATTCGCGGATGCCTGTTATTTTCGTAGAATAATACGCCGGTCGACCTACCTCAGTTGCTGTCAAAAGGTGGAAAGAGAGAAAAAGCTAACCGGATGCAATATTATTGCTGACGCTAGAGCTGCCACACTTTTCACGACTGTCAAAAGAAATGACTACGATAAAAGTTATCGCTGTTGTCGGCGGGAGATTTAATTTTGTTTTAAATATAAATCAAGAAATATAATCACATCCACAAGTATTTACGAGTTTAATAGTAATATATTTATTATTATTATTATGCGCGTGATAGCAAATATAAGTGTCCCGTAATTTTTTAGTTCATGGCAACTCCTATGAGTTATCAGTGTTATTTTTAATACATATTTTTTTGAGCACTGATTTCCACCATGGTGGCAACCTTTACATTCAGCAATGTATTTCTTAGCTATCGATGGCCACTGCAGTGCAACCCTTGTGTTCCATGTGTTGCCATTCAGCTTGATTACCAAACTCACACACGTTTTGGACATTTGTGAAAACAATTAAAGTGCAATTTACCAGAGGACTTGATACAACAATTTTTTTTATTCACCTAGTGCATTTGAGAAGTGAAAAATTTGCTCTTTTAGACAAGTCGCAGAGCTGTTCGGCTTGTGTTTGGGTGGATGGCAACACTGCATACGCCGGCCATGTTATGATATGTAAAAGGTGGACGTCGACACGTGTTTAGTTCGTGCAGCTTCTGTGTGTGCCTGAAAAAGAACAGTGAAAATAACAAGAAAAAAACGTATAAAATACGCGAAAAGCCAACCAAGCCACTGACAAACCACCCAATATAATTTACCACAGCGGTTACAAAAGGTAAGAGCCAATTTCGAGCATGCGGAACATAACCTAGTACAAAAGTGTTGCCAAAACAGAGACACACAGGCAAAAGTCGCTGGGGAACCGAAAGAAAAATGGTGTCATGTTGCACGCACGCAGAAATCCGTTCGAGTAATGCGTAGTGGTAAAAATTATTCCAAATATTCCATTTTTTTTCCGATGCATTTTTGTTTTTGTGCAATCCCAGACCGATCTCAGTGGAGATATCCTGCTTGGCAGAGTCGTGTCGTCGCTGTCTCTGTAATATGTGTTTGTGTGTGTGTGTGTTGATAGTGGTGGTGGTACTCCGGCGAAATTTCGGTGTGCGATGACAGTGCCGGAAAATTGGAACAACAGTTTAACTCCATTTCATGGGGCTCCTTGGGGCCCGGTTAAGTATCGTTGTCCAACGATTACACAATGGATAGCTAGCATTCTGCCCATACATACATATCTACATACTAGTCGGCATACATAAGTCTGAATGTATGTACATACATATGTATATGCGTGTGTGTAGGTGTGAACTAATGTGCGAGTGTGAGATATATGTATGCGCGTGTGTGAGTCATTCCAAATGATGTACATATGTGTAGGAAATGCTTTTGTTAGTTTTCCTTAGCCGCTTTCACCGCCCGCCCCCAATCAACCGTTTGATAACAACAATGCAGGAGTGAGGGAGATGATGCCACACCCCCAATCTTTGGCGCTGCAATGTTAAGATATACCTCGATTATACAATCCAACCGTCGATAGGCGAGAAGGAGCAACAGTGACTAGCTTGCTCTGTCTCTCTTCCTCTCTCTCTCTTTCCCCTCCTTTTCGGTACAAACCTGAACCATATGATCGAAAACCACGTTGCCAAGATTATAACGGCGTGTGAGTGTGTGAATGTGTTGCACCTGGTTGTTGTTTTGGTGCGTGTGTTCCTATGCTCTGAGGAGATGTGCTTGTGTGTGTGTGTGTTAGTGTATTAATAGTCTTCGCATGTTGGCTCGCTCATCCGCTCTCCTTTTAAAGTTGCGCGAGTTTCGGCTTGATAAGAATGAGGAAAGGAATTTCATTGGGCCCAAGCAGTTTGTTGCCTCCCGATGATGGTTTCTTTTTGGAAATCAGAGTTCGCAAGAGCCGAAAAATCTGTGGATGTGGATGGTATGCAAGTTCAAAGTCACAAAGCACTCACTACCCGCCGAAGCAACTGAAACATGTTTGTTTGCTTGCCACACACGCACGCAAGCATACCCCCACACAAACACATATACAGAAATGATACGGCATTCGCACACACACACATCTACATATGTTTAGATGTGTGCCATATGCAAATGAGTGTGTATGTGTGTAAACATTTGATTATTCGAAAAAATTCCCGTCACCCGGTTTATTACGATTGGGAAATGCTCAGCTGTCATGCCCTTCCATAGGCCATAGGCATTTTATGGCCCCACTCTGCTTTGCTCAGCTCAGCTCCGTCCGTCTGCTTCTCTACTCCCCCCACTCTCCCTCTCTCTCTCTTCTCGCTCGCTCTCTGGCGCTCGATCTGGCGCTGCTTTGTTGTTTGGCGTTTAATTTGTGATTGGGCGATTAGCCTTATCAGCTGTCTACACAGTGTGGCCGAGGACCTTTGGGCCTACACGCACACCAGCATAGACACAGACCCAAACTCTGTGACGAAACGTGGGCAAACTTGTCACAGTGGGACGGAGCGCATAAGAATCAAATGAATTATATATTTTCTCCAACTAAAATATACATACATTTCGATGCACACGTGAGAGGATTTTTTTTGGCTCAAAAGAGCAAATCATGCTCTCCCTCTCTCTCTCTCTCTCTCTTTCTTTGAGGGTGTTTGGGTGGGAAGGGGCGCTAAAAAAAACTCTTTCGACCACGCATCCGTCGACAGCTTTGTTCGTGGGGGAGTGGGGATGCACAGAGTGTGAGGGGAGGGTGAAAGTGGGGACGCAAGTGGAAAGACAAACCCAATTAGATGGCGGGTAAGATAGTTTCCCTTCGTATATCGAGCAGTCGGTATCATAATCTCTCCCCAAACGTAACGCGTTCGAAACGAAACAAATCGCCGGCATTTCGATCTCGAATTCGCACGAAAAACGCAAGAAACGATAACAAATAATAAACGGCATAGCAAACCGAAGGAGTAGAAGGAAAAAAATAAAAAATAAAAATAAAAAATAACTCCAAACCAAAACGAATTGTAACCAAAACGATTAACGAAATCCCCCAACCCCTGGTTCCACCAACCGCTACACGCCACGCCACCCATCATTCGAAGCCAACGAAGCAGCCGCCGATAGCGATAGTGTGGTGATATCAATACGAGCTGTTGCTCGATTCACAGCCATTGATCGGTTTTGGTAATTGCTTAATCGGTACGATTTTTTGTTGTTTTTAATTTTTGTGAATGGGCTGGCCAAGGGGATGAGGAGGATATGGTATGCCCAACCACCGCATAACATTTTTTCTTCATTATTTTTTAGTTTTTGTTTTGTAATGATTTCATAACATTTGCCGTAAACGTAACGGCTTGTTCTTTTCGTTTCGTTTCGTCTTGTTTCGTTCCTCTCTGTGGCTCTTATTTTGTTGTCTTGTTCGTTCTTGCTCACGCGCTCCGTCTCTCTCTCGATCTTTTTTTGCCCCCTCTCTCTCTCTTGCTCTCTCCCCCTTCCAACAACACCTATGCCAAGTATGTGTGTTGCTCTTTCTCTCCCCCTTCCACCCGCTAGTCCAAGTGTGTTGTGTGTGGGGAGGGTCTTCCGCGTGGCATTCAAATTTGCTTTGCGGCTATCTCGCTCCCTCTCCCGCTCTCTTTACCTGTGTGAGTCTCCCTCTTTCGTTATAGTATTTGGTCTGCGCGTTGCTCGAAATTGTTGTCTATAATTATGTATTTTATTTGTTGCTATAAATACACGCAAAAGTTCACAAAGGAAAAAGCCAAAAACACACACTGACTGACACACACATGGACCGGACCGCAGGTCTCGTGATGCTCGAAAAACACGAAAGAACGTTTTTGTTTTGTAGATTTAACTATAGGGAAAAATATGCAAGAAAGAAAGGATAGCAAATATCCTAGCAGATTTAATGTTTCTAGGCTAATTGTACGATATTATCAGATAATTGCAATTACATTTTGTTCAGTTCCTACAAATGATCTTTGATGCTCGCATCTATGTACCTATTTTATGATATATTCAACCCTATCTTGGCGGTGCGTAATTATATAATAGTCGCAGCACAAAATTATTAATCGATCATTTGCTTGGCAAGCGCAGGTGTGAGATACTTATGATAATAAATACCCTCTGTTGGAGATCAATCAACTCTATTTACTTAGCGGATTCCATACAAAATAGGGAATCTTTGTTCTCGGGGCAGCATGGACCTCTTGCGATCTAAAACAAAAACAAAACAAATTCTAAAAATTCAACGAAACTTTTCAATGCTCTATAAGTCATTCGTTTTGTACACGTTCTGTAGCCATTATTCATTTAGTTTTGTTCAAATACACAACAAATATATTCCACGCTACACAAAAACAAAACACATTAACCATCAAATTCCGCAAATAAAAACACGGGTCGGTTATCTTTAAGTGTTTAAAAGGATCTACTAAAATTGAATCTTAAACGGATTGTCTCTCCCTCTTTACAGAGCCTTCAATATTCAGCGAAAATGGTATCCGGTCGTCCACTACTCTACTTGTCATTGCCCGGTGTAGCATTTATCCTGGGCGTGTTTTGGTTCCGACGTAGAAATAAAAATCGTTTAGACAAGCCCGACGATGAGGACAACAACGCAAAGGAGTCGTCGGGTGGCGTCGTCTCCCCTCTGGAGGCGCGCACTGCAAACGGCAGCCTACAGAATGGTAAGCTACCGACGAGCTTTTTGCTGCAGCAGGCAACCAAATCGATGAATATCAACGGCACAGGTGCCACAGAAAATGGCAACGGGAGTGGAAGTGGAAGCGGCAGCGACGAGAAGGATAGCCCCAACACAATGCTGTATGGAAAGTCGGCTCCCATCAAGATACAGAGCAATGGACGCACTCCGCCGGGTGTACATCAGCAACAGCAGCAGCAGCAGATCGACTCGGAGATGCTCAAGTCAAAGATACAGGATGCCGAGCACAAGAAGCTCTGCTCCATCGACGAGGACTTTGAGAATCTATCGTCGCCGCGCGATCTGCCCGATTCGGTGAACACACGCGTTTCCTTCTACAATCGCAAGGCAAACAGCAAGGTCGTCGAGCCGGTGGTGATCAAGGCCACACGCACCCCAAAGATATCGCCAGAGAACTCGTTCCTTGAGGCCACCTACACCAAGGAGTGCGAGCAAAACAACAATTGCCAGCCAGGCGACAGCAAGAAGGTGGCAGTGGAGGAGGAGCCACCCAACCCAAGCCCAATCCCAAGGAGGCTGCTGGTGCTAGAAACCAAGACTGTGATTCACAGACAGACATCAAGGAGACAGATAGCAATGGTAACCAGAAGCGCAATGTGGATGCGGCCAGTCCCTCGCTTAGCATTTGCAGCGTTCAGTCTGGGGACTCTGGCAAGGGCTCCAGCCTGCCCCGCTCGGAGGCGACACGTGTCAAGGTCAGCTACGAGTTTGTCTTCCCCGTCAGCCTGATTGGTCAACTGTACGGCCGCAAGCGTGCCTTTATCAATCAGATCAAGGCCAAGACCCAGGCGAGTGTGATCCTCAGCAAGAACCCATGCACGAATAAGCTGCGCATTTGCGTTGTCGAAGGCACGGAGAGCGAGATCGATGCCGCTTTAGCCATGATCCGTCAGCGTCTGCCCGTCAAGCGGTATCCAAACTTTACAATGCAACGCATCCACTTTGCGCTTCCACAAACCATAGTTCCTCTATCGGCACAAAGCCTCTCCAATCTACAAGTGAGTAATGTCTGTTGCTCCAAAATCCAAACTCGTGTCTAAAATCCATTCTCTTTCTGCGTGCAGCTCAAACTCTTTGAGGGCATCAACAATGATGTGGTGGTCAGTGCCGTGCTCTCGGGATCACATCTGTTCGTTCATCACCCGCTGCATCCATCGCATCCGGCACTGCCAATGCTGCAGAAGCAGCTGTACGACAGTTACTCTGAAATGGAGGCGCCTCTGCTTCCGGGCATTGAGATCAGTGCCGTTTGCGTGCTGCCCGTCAACGGGATCTGGTATCGCGTACAAATCGTCGATCTCGATGACGAGGATGAAGAGCGTTGTGTGGTTAAATTCCTTGATTTCGGTGGCTACATGAACGTGAACCTCTCCGTTCTCCGTCAGATTCGCACTGATTTCATGGTGGTGCCCTTCCAGTCCACAGAATGCATCCTGTCCAACATTGAGCCCATTGGTAAGTTCCAGCTTGCGGCATTAACTATAAACTATGAATAATATTTCCTGATTTACCCGCTTTCCCACAGACGGTGCCTGGTCCTTGGAGGCGATCGATGTCCTCACCAAACTAACCAAAGGCATTGTCTTGCAAGCACAAGTCGCCGGCTACAATAGTCACAACATACCTGAAATCTTTTTATTTGCTTCCCTGGGCCCCAATGTGAGTACAATCCTTTTCCACGCGCAATATATGTATCTGACATCAATCAGAGAGAGATGGCGCGCATCACAGAACAGAAATGCAAAAAGAACTTTAAATCTTTCAAAGGTAGCTCCATTCGGGAATAAAAGTGGGTTTCACTGTGGGTTCCATTCACGTTCACGCCTGATTGGCATTTCGCCATTCAGTTGACAAAGAAACAAAGAAATGATGGCCAATCTGCTGTAGAATATTTTTATTTATTTTGTATTTATTGCAATTATCTGAAACCAAAAAATCTCAAACATTTTAAAATATTTAGCTCCTATGTAATCGGCTATTTTTATCGATCTCTTTTATTGGGTTTGTATCGGAAAATTTCCCTAATCGCTCGCGTAGTTTTTTTTAGGGGAAATTCACATCATAATAGCTCTTAAAATATTCATTTTATTTCTTTTAAATTTATTTTTATGCTTTCAACTGCCTTTGCAGTTTTACATTGCACGATTTTATAAACATTTTTATTTTTTCCTTTTTGTATAAGAATTCACACAAACCATTTTTTCTTCTTCTACTTTTCCAGAATGTAATCTTTCTCAATAAGGAACTGGTCGCCAGAAATCTCGCGAAATGGGTGGAGATGCGTGACTAACCAAGAGCCCTACTGAACAACAACTAACGCTAGTACCCAACAACTGCTCCTATCTGCAAAACACAAACAACAGAAACACTTTAACAGCAAAGCAAAAACAGTCAAAACCCAGTCCAAAAGCAAGAATTAAGCGCTTGGAGGAGTCTTCTGGCTCCGGAGGAGGCGGCCGTCCAGACGGAGGCAGGATATTGCTGAGGAAAGGTTGCAGATGAACTGAAGGCCAAAGCCAATGTGCGCGCCGCCTCCTCCATAAAACAAAACAAAAACAAAAAACGTTAGTTAAGATTTGTAGACTGCGACTGAGCCTAGAAAGAGAGCCATCTCTAATCATACATATACCCCATATACACCCCACATCCCTTCCCTATTCCCACCACAAACACACACACACACACACACACGCATATATGTATAAGACACCTCACTAACACTACATACACTCGTGCATGTATAATTATATATATGTGAGAGGCATACACCGTTTGTCTGCCGCCACATATTGTGTGTTGATTGCCGCCGCCTGCCTCGCATCCCAATCACACAACAAACAACCGAGGGACACCAAATCGCGGGGGGACAGAACTGCTGTAGGGTTTGTGTAAAGTAAACAATCAATCAAATCAGGCTCTCCCATCAATTAATGAATCAATCAATCGGCAATCAGCAGATAGGCAGGGTCAGAGGCAGAAAGGCAAAGGCTAAGGCAGGAGAGCGAAAGCAGACGAACCGCTTAAGATATTACCATACTCAGTTGTAAGTAGGTCTACTATCTAGTGTAAATAGTTCTTTTTATAAATTAAATAACGAAATGCAGAAAACACACACAAAAATATACAAAAACAAACAACAAAGAAACTAAACCTTAAACCCAATATCAAGCGTTCGTTCATCAGCGTTCGAGGATTAGACAGAAAATAAAAGAGAATCAGAATCAGATTCGGAGATAGAGAGAGAATGAAAGAGGAGGTATTTGTAATTGTACATACAGATAAGCATAGGAATGGAATTATATAGTATATATATTAAAATTGATTGTAGATCTAGTATCATCTCCGGTTTTTGATCGTTCCGATACGTTTTTATATGTGTATGAATTATGTTGTTTTTATTCATATATATTTAAACAAAAAAGAAGTCGAAACATAAAGAGTACAATATTACTTTGAAGAAATAAATTACAAAACAAAATCCCCCGAGCAAAGAATAGAGAGAGAGAGAACGAGTTAGCGAGAGATCGGAGTGAGAATGCTCAAGTCGAATGCGAAATACTTAGTCTGCTGTGACCCCCCTCCCGATCCGCCGCCAATTCCCTCCTCCCTCCCCACCACCATTAGCTCCGCTAAATGCCTAAAGAAACAGACAACCAATTATGACAGAAAAGATCGTAACTCGTTAACAGAATCAATATATTTATATGCGTGTGTGCCATTGTTAGTCAAAAAATTAAAACAAAAACAAAAAACCAAACCGACTCTAAAACTAAAACAGAAAAATAGATCAGAATAGTGGTAAAAGAGAGATGTGGAAAGGGAGAGGGGAGAGTTGTGTCTCCTCCTCTCGGCCCCACCTAGCATGTGCAAAAATAATGTAAATACAATCACAAAACGAAAGCAATTTAGTAAAAAAAAAAAAAAGCCAATTATGCAATGCAAAGACAAGAGGGACAAACGCGTAAGCAAAAGCAAAAAGCAATAATTGTTGATAAAAAAAAAAAACAAACTGCAAATAGTGCTGCCACAAAAGAAAACTAAACTAAAAAAAAAAGAGTGAAACCTCAATTGCCTTTCTTTCTGAAATTCAATTTGCGAATGCAAGAAAGATTCAAAACAAACGAAAACTAAGAAACAAACTATTCATAGAATGACTTGACAAGGAATAAACGTAAAACAAAATCGCTTAAAATGTTACAATTTCTGGCTTTTTTTAGACCAGAGACAGAAGAAGCTTTAGGAAGTCTTATTCCAAGTACAGCACAACACACACGATCACGATCCCAACTCCCCCAAAACCATCTTCACCAACCTAAAATCCAACCCAAAACGATACCCCAGTACATAAAATTAATATTACACCAAACACCCACCCACACATACACACACTCACACACACATAACAAAAACAATACAAAAACCATGTTATACATATTTATTTTGTTTGAGATAAAGAGAAAACTTAAATTTTAATGTATACAAAGACGTGAACAGTGAGAGAGAGAGAGAGAGAAGAGAAAACAAAATCAATATATAAAATACAAAATATATTTAAAACAACAACAAGAATAATGCTTAATAGTCGCCGGCCGTCATGGTTCTTCTCATTGTCTTCATCGTCATCGTAATTGCCAAAAAGGCCAGAATTAAACAATTTAGTTAATAAAACGTACAAGTGATGATCATATGCATATAAACATATACATATATATATCTATCTAAATCTATATGCTGTATCTATATATTTGTATCCACATTTATATATCAGGATTCTTACGATTCTGTGCGGCGATTTTAAAGACTTGGCGTGTTATTCTTCTTCTACGATAGTTTATACAACAATTATTATTACTATGATTATTGCTCTATCATTATCATTATTATAATGACTTTTTATTATTATTATTATAAAATTTTTTTCCTGTTTGTTTTTAGATCTTTCGTGTGTAATTAATTAACATTAATTTGCTAATTTAAAATAATTCGTTCGTACTGTTCGTTCGGCCGTCCGCCCCGGGGCCACTCACCCACATGGTCTGCTAGTGTGGAAAAATTAAGTTTTCAACTGTATCAATTTCGCCTCAAAAATGCAATTTAAATTATAGATTTATCTTTGGGTTCTTATTTTCTTTTACGATTTCAAATGTTGATTTTGTCACTTGTAAAATTTTTGATAAACTGATGTACTGATTGATTAACTGATAAACTGACATAGCGATAGAGCATCATGATTGAAGAGCACACACAGACCCGCAAATACCCGAGGCCAGCCTTCTTTTTGGATAGAGTCGTCTTCCCCAAACGATCATCGTGTGTGTGTGTGTGTGTGTGCGGTTCTGCTTCCCCTATTTATATCCGGTTATACCCCCGTTTTTTTTTTCTTATCTAGTAATGCTGAGAGAAGGAGTGACGAGAGATACGAATAAGAATTAATTTATAGACGCATTCAAGTGAGAATAATTTACAAATCTAGTTATAAACTAAATATAATGCAAGTACATTAAATAAAATATTATTGAAAAGTAAACAAATTGTGTGTTGTGGATTGGTTTTTGGAATGGGCTAAGAGAGGTCTCAAACTTAAGACTTAAAAAATATTTAATTTGCACAAATATATTCGCATATGTCTAATTCAATTGGAAGATTACAGATTCTATCTGTGCGAACATCTACTTAATTATTGAAGAATTTGTAGCCCAAACGACTTTCCCAATTGAGGAAATCACCAGAGGATTGTAAAAGATAAGTCGTCATCCCTTTTTCAATGGAAGGCATTGTCCTATATCTTATCCGCATTGAATGCGATGCCAATTACGATATGTTTATGATGTGTATTATTATCTGCGCACATATTGTACCTACGCGTGCATAAAGATTATACCGGATCCATGGCGAACGGATTCACCGCTTCCATGGAAAAACTTAAACTTATCTGCTGGCACCTCGTAGTACCTATAGGTACCGATATCGCCAAATATTGCCGAAGAACTGATGAATGATTGATTGAACGTGCAATTTTGGTATCGAGTAGAGCTCTGGGCTGGGCGTCATAGAAGCCAGAGTCCATGACCAAGAAAATGCGCATTCCCCCTCGATGGAACGATGGATCGGTGGATCGACACGCAATAAACTAGAGGACCGCTGATCAGGCGCGTTGGATTGTAAATGTTTGTGGCCCGTCAATGAATATTGACCAATGAATCGAATTCAACTGAATTTGTTATCGATTCCTTGGGGCCCCAGCAGTCCAATTAGTGATGTCTGGACTTCTTTTGACTTCTCATTTTCTGGCGGTCAGCGGATAGCGGTACGGGTACTTACACTCGAACTGGAGAACCTACTTAATCTCTATGGGTACCCGAAAATCGTTTGTCATGCTCTTGGGTTATGGGTCTGGATCGGGAAGTGAGTTTTACTGCGTTTCTCGTCTGCGTGTGCGTCTTTGGGTAGGTATTTACTACTGGCAGCACCTTTCAATGGTTTATAATTAAACCGCTTACCTTCGTGGTTCCTTTTATCGAAGTTTTGGATGTTTCATTCGTAGCGCCATACAGTGAGCACTGGCTATGGCATTTACTTGGGGAAAACTGCCACCCAAAACTACACCATGCACATTGAAAGTTAGCACGCGACAATCGGGTCGGCCCGATGAGTATCTACGAGTATGTAACTGTATCTGAAGCCACGACGAGCACACGATCACAATGTTTTTCCCCTCGCCATCTGCTAACGGGAATGGAAATGCGAATGTGAATGCGAGTGTGAGTGTGACTGGGTGGTAGGGTAGTTGGTGTGAGTGAGTGGAGATATCTGTGTGAACAATTTCACGCTTTTTACCTGTTGGCTCCGCTGCTGCCTGTCTGTCCGGGCTTTGAGCGCCGCTGCTTGGCGAAACGCTGCTTGTACTTTGGCAGTTCTTAAAGCGGCAAGCGCTCGGAGCATTCTCAGTTCTAGCCGTGGCATTCGCGGCACCACAACCACAACCACCTCCATCGAAAGCCAGTGACCATAACCACAGAGCCAGAACCAGAACCAGAGCCAAGGGCTGAGATCGGTTGGGCCATGAAATGTGCTTAATTACCAATTGCAATTAACAGTTTCAAGTGCAGAGAGAACGTCAGTGTTTAAACGTAAGCCACCACCCACCACCCACTACCACCACCACCACCACCACCACCACCACCAAAGCGAAGCTTCAAAATGGAACTCAAAGGTGTTCATCAGCCGAATGGTAACAGCAATGGAATAGTAGGTGCTGCAGGAGCAGAAGGAGAAGCAGCAACACCCACTGCAGCACCAGCACCAACAGAAGCAGCAACAACAGCAGAAGAAACCACAACAGAAGTAAGTGGAGAACCAAGCAAACCCCCACCACCCGGCCCACGGCCCCGTGCAACACTCCATAAAACAATCACGGGGCAAAGAGCTAATGAAATTAGTTTCAAGTGCAGTGGCGGGGCAGCACTCGAGTGTGGAGTGGCGGGCATAAGTGGATGGCCGCCATATGGCGACAGATTGGAGAAGCGTAAGCCCCAGCTAAGTGGGACAGTATGTGACCCAGCCCCAGCCCCAGCCAAAGGATGCGAATAAGGACATATACATATGTGTGCAGTACTTGGTAGAGGGTGATGGCTCTTATGCTCCTCGTATTGGTTGCTCCTTTAGTCATGTTCCGCCGGTGCTCCACCGGCGTTGTTTTGTTTTTATGGCTTTATGGTCATTATGATCATTAAGTCAGTCAGTCTTTAATTGCAGGGCTAATCGACCGATAAACGAAAATGCGATTTACAATTCGCCGCCCAACGCACACGCAGACAGAGCACAGTTGAGGAGAGCTGGGCAGTGCAGGGCAGTGAAGAGGAGAGAAAGAGCAGAGCAGAGCAGAGCAGACTTTGCTTGGCGGATATTAAATGCATATCTTATACGGTTTATTGCCCCACCGCCGTACATAACAATATACGAGTAGTACCCCTGTAGTGAATGCCCCAGAAAAATAACCATAATTCCCCTGAAACTGAAACTGAACCAAACCGAACCGAAACTTATCTTAGACAGCCTTCAAACTGCGCGGCCGGCACTATTCTAACAACCTCACTTTCCAGATACAATATACGAGTACGAGCAAGTACTCTAGTACTTATTGTACATATTATTGCTATGTGCTTAGGTGCGCATATCGTGGGTATACCCATGATAGGTAGGGGCGGAAACCCGTTTCCACACGAAAGATGACTGCAATGACAGTACCGAACCGAACCGAACAGAGCCCCTGGCTGGAACCGACATGTGACGGCGCTCATGCTAAACCAATGATCAAATGTTGGCTCAAACGGGCATATGGGAAACAGCCCAGTGGAAAGTACTCTGTGGTATTACCCCATACGATAGTTGAATGCTTAATCAGTGGTCTAATCGGTGCTTGCAAGATCTCTAAAGTGGGGGACTTTTCTTTCATTTAAATGGTGAATAATAATAATGTGTAAATCCCATACCATACATTCCCGTTCAACAGAATGGGTCAAGCATAATCTGAACAGAATTCCGTAACTATCCAAAGTATTCTGATCATATGCAGATATGTTCAAGTAGATTTCGATGCCATTAGATAACAAATCTGAAGTTCAACAGCCTCTCAAAATCTATGGTCTCAACAATACAATATATGTACATATGTATATATTATATTTTTTGTAAGGTATCATTGCAAAATGAGTGCAAGATTGTAACACCTTTGCCGTAGATAAAGTGGATACGCAAACAGATGGGGCTTGCCTTTGGCTTCGGTTCTACGGAAATTTCTACAGCCTTATAATGATGCAGTTTTCGTTTTCATTTATCTTCGTAATTGCCGTAGATTTCCCGCCCACCGCCGCCTGCCAGCGTCTCCCCCGCCCGCCAAGCTGTGTGTCTTTCTCAGTTATTATTTTATTTAAACAGCCTTTTTCTGTTTTCTGTTTTGTTTTACGAATAGCACAAATATGTAAAGCGGCACAGCATTTTGGGGGCCGTAAACAAAACGACACCACCGTTAACGACACCAACGAAATCCCCCAGCTGGTGCTGCTGTGCCAATAATGTATTGCTGAAAATAGATTTCCATTATTGTATTAGTTCAAAAAAAGATGAGAGTTCGGAGTAATAATTATAATTAATAACACTTACTACAACACGACAGTGCCCTGAAATTATCTGAAAGGTGCGTTCCATAGTTACATGTACGAGTGCTCGTACTGCCGGGAGAACCTCGAGCGATTTAATGGCCCTACTAAAGCTTTAAACCGTACTCTCGTTCTGCCTCTCCCTGTGTCTTCGCACTTGTGTCAATGAAATATTATAATTGCTTTAGAGATACCGACCGACAAGGGAGTGAGTCATTAACTAGAATTCAATTGTCTGTCTGTGCAATCAACGTGTGAACTTTTGCTGGAAAAGCTGTGTTGTTCGGGCAAACTCGATCTGTCCGATGCTCTATCGTGTCGAATGATGGATTTTAATGTCGGGGAAGTTTCCCAATTAGTGGATGAGCAGAATAGGCATTGAAATTATGATGAATATAAAAATCATTTGGGCACTTTGTCGTCGGGGATTTTTTTTCTGGCATTAGGCAGAAACTATTGGCGTGGTTGGGGTGTTGGCATCGTTCAGCGCCTAATTGTTCATGTATATTTATAAAACAAACTGCATTCAGATTCAGAGCTAATTGCTTTAAAGGCCCTTTATGACTATTCCCTTACGCTTTGCTGATTTACAACAAATAAAAGTAGCTGCCTATTTTCATTTATTCAAACGAACGGGAGTGGTTATTCTTTACAACTTTACGAATGAATATGTACAGTAGGCGACTACTAGAGAAGCAAAGCAAGTCTTAAGATTAAGGCAGTCCCAAACGCAGGGAAATTTAATCTAGATTCTAGTGCCATAAAAGTAGCATAAATTTCTTTGAAATCCCAAGTGTCCTTAAACTTAGAATCCCCATCACAGGGACCTAAACAACGGACGAGTCGAGGAAACAAAGTAAATAGATATGTTGCAGAGGCCATAAAGCGCATAAATTGCTTTAAAACTCCGATCTTATCACAGGTAAAACGGAAACAAATATAGATATGTCACAATGAATGGATACATAATGATATATGGCATATATGTGGTATGTGGAAGGTATATAGCATTATCTATCTGTAGTAAAGATCGTATACAAGCTTAGGAGATACATATTTGCGTGTGGCTTATCTGGGAATTCAGATTTGGAAATTCCAACGCTGCTGCTGCTGCTGCTGATACTCGGGTGACAGGGCATTGTGTGTGTGCTGCTGCTAGTCATATTTACCCGAGTTGAAAATCCACCGCTAATGAGTCTCTAAATATTTAGTCATGTGTCTGGAATGCTGTTTGAACTTATAACTCATGTATGGCGGGACTCTGATATCCAATCTTTGATCTCTTTTGCAGAAGGTGGATGCAGAAAAGCAGAATGTCGAGCGTTCCAATTGGGGCAATGGCCTTGAATTTCTTATGTCCTGCATATCAGTGTCCGTGGGTCTGGGCAATGTCTGGCGATTTCCCTTCACCGCGTACGAGAATGGTGGCGGTGCCTTTCTCATACCCTACCTCATTGTGCTCTTCCTGATTGGTAAGCAACGAGTCCTCCATTTGAGTCTCTATCTGATCGCTTTTCTGTTTTGCAGGCAAGCCCATGTACTACTTGGAAATGATCATTGGACAGTTCACCAGCCAGGGCACTGTGAAGATTTGGTCTGTGGTACCGGGCTTTGTGGGCGTGGGCTATGGCCAGGCCTTTGCCACCATCTGCATCATCACCTACTACTCCTCGCTGCTGGCCCTGACGCTCTACTATCTCTTTGTGTCCTTCCAATCGGTGCTGCCCTGGTCCTACTGCTGGGAAGACTGGATTAATTGTGTGGACTCGAGGCCCCAGGAGGACATAGATAGCCTGCTCCTCGGCAGCAGCAGCAGCAATGCTACCGCCCTGGTGGACACCGGGAAGCTTCAGAGCAGCTCCGAGCTCTATTTTCTGTGAGTTTCCCATTTGGGGATGGCACAAAGCTCCCTTTTAACGCACTCCCTGTGTGTTTTGACAGGAATGTGGTGATCAAGGAGAAGCTGGACATATCCGACGGCATTGGTGACCCCGACTGGAAGCTGACGCTGGCTCTGTTCGTCGCCTGGGTGGTCATCTTCCTGGTGATCATGCGCGGTGTTAAGAGCTCTGGCAAAGCGGCCTACTTCTTGGCCCTGTTCCCCTACGTAGTGCTATTCATCCTCCTGGTGAGAGCCGTCACCCTGGACGGGGCACGGGACGGCATCATCTTCTTCCTGGAGCCGCAATGGGGGGAGCTCCTGAATCCCACCGTGTGGAAGAATGCCGTCGTTCAGTGCTTCTTCTCGCTGGCCGTCGGCTCGGGGCCGATCATCATGTTTGCCTCGTACAATCGCTTTGATCATGGGATCTACAGGTGAGCAGTGCCCATGCTCATGCCCATGGGGTCAGATCCTTCTTTAACATTTTTTCTTGATCGTTGGCAGGGATGCGATGATTGTGACCACCCTGGACACGCTGACGAGTCTGCTGGGTGGCATCACCATCTTTGCGATTCTCGGCAATCTGGCCCACAATCTGCAGATCGAGAATATCCGCGATGTGGTGCGCAGTGGCACTGGACTGGCATTCATATCGTATCCGGATGCCATATCCAAGTTCAAGGCGGTGCCGCAGCTCTTCTCGGTGCTCTTCTTCTTTATGCTGTTTGTCCTGGGCATCGGTTCGATTGTGGCCCTGCAGAGCACGATTGTGACGATCATTTGCGATCAGTTCAAGAGCTGGAAATACTGGAAAGTGGCGCTGGCCACCTCCATATGCGGCTTCCTTATGGGCCTGGTCTATGTGACACCAGTAAGTGGCTGTCAATTCGTGTATTCTTTGTTTGTTTATTGTCTCTAAGTCTGTGTTTGTATGTCTCAACAGGGTGGCCAGTGGATCCTCACGCTGGTGGACTTCTATGGCGGCACCTATGTGGTCTTTATTTTGGCCATTTTCGAGCTGGCAGGCATTGTCTGGGTCTATGGTCTGCAGAACTTTTGCGATGATGTCGAGTTCATGTGCAATCGAAGGGTGTCCATCTACTGGCGCGTCTGCTGGTCCTTCTTCACGCCCGTCATGATGATTGTCATCTTCATCTACTCCATGGTCACCATCGAGCCCATTACCTACAGCGAACTGGTCTTCCCAGAGTCGGCAAATGGTGAGTGGTCTTTCGAGTTGTTTTGGCTCCTATAATTTCTGATTTCTGATCTCTTTAGTGGCTGGCTGGCTGCTGTTTGGCATCGGAGCGGCACAGTTCCCACTCTGGTGGATGTGGTACATTTCCCGGCACAGAGAAGGCAGCATGGGCCAAGTGAGTATCTGGAGATCAACCATCTGGAACAGGGTCTAATCCAGTTCCCATTACAGTCCTTTGTGGCCTCGCTGCGACCCAGCGACAAGTGGGGTCCGGCCAATCCAGAAACGAAACGTGCGTGGGTGATCTTCAAGAACGAGAAGGCCGCCCAGAGGGCCACCAAGAAACAGTCCTCCAAGTTGGGCGCCTTCTGGCAGAAGCTGGGCCACTTCTGTGGTGCCGATAACTAGGATGTCGATATCCGGAATAGATCTGCGATATCTGAGATTAGGTTTATCGTGTAGTATGCCTGTATGTTAGTTGTATGCCATTATCAGCCTCCATGAAGCCATCACAAATGCCGACACAAAGCGACACACAGACACTTCAACCGAATATACATAATTCCATGTGTGGATTGGAATGGAGTGGAGCGGAGTGTAGTGATCCCCTGTTAGCATCATTTACATATATGTATAAATATATTAATAAATTCCACCCTTTTTTTTTTGTGTTGTTATCTAATGTACAAATCGTATCGTATCAGATAATAAAATATGATACTCGTAAATCAAAATTGTCATTTTATTGCAGATGGAATGGTCGTATTAAAACTAATGAAGTTTGTATCTAAAAATCAGATGTAAATAACTTTCATAATATTACCTGTTTTATCCAAACTCTGATGACTTTCTGGTATTTTTATTTAATTGTTTCTTCCATTTTTAAGGGCGCCCTTTTCCCGAACAGCCCCTCAAATGCCATTAATAAATCCTATCCAGATTTTATATTTTTAATTTATTTTTATTCAGTTTTTGTTGGTTTTTCTTTCATACAAAGCCCTTTATTATTGTTAAAATTTCAATTTTTCTCTTTTGTTTTTTTTTTGTTGGTTTTTTAATTAATATTTTACACTTTTAGGGGTGGGGGGGGGGGGGCATTCTCCTTCTGCCCCTACTCCTCCCACAGATCTCATTTCATTCTCGTCCTCGATCATTGTTCTCCTATTCTCATTCGTTTCTTCGTCTTCTCATATATATTCTCGATCTTTCATGGGAAGGGGGAGAAGTGTACATTGTAACAGTACAGCAATTGATTTTATGAAATACGGTAAATTTGCTATAAATAGTGGGAATTCTTACGAGGTAAATGCTTAATGAGCAAAAAAAAAAAAAAAAAAATTACAATCGTCATCAGATCTGATCAGTTTATGCTACATACATAATACATATGATATATATATATGTATACAAAATAACAAATCGTAAGTCTAATAAACATTCTTAAAATTCATATCTCAAATACAAATACAATATTTGCATTATTTTTGGTTTTTTGTTTTTTGTTTTTGGTTTTGGGTTTTGTGTTCTTCTGTTTTTTTTATGGTATTTCTCAATTGTGTTTCTGTTTTTTTTTTTTTTCTTTTGGTTTTGGGCTTGGGGTTGTTCTTAGCTTTAGATTCTTGACTTTACCAAACATTACGCGGGTCTAGTGTTCTGCTTTTCTTTTGTCGGTTTTTGTCTATAACTAGGCTTTCGAATCCTCATCTTTATCATCTGTTTTCTATGTTAATGCTATTTTGTGTCTGTGGTGTCTGTATTTCTGGTCTGTTTTTTTTTAAGGTTTTTGGTTTTTTTTATCCTAAAATACTAATTTAGCAAATGTAGGCACCCTAAATATTAAAGCTTTTGCAAAACACGGTTCCTCGATAAGATACATACATATATATAACAATATATTTTGTTTGGTTTCTGATTCGGGTATCGGTTTAATTTTTTTAAAATTTAAATTTAAATATACAATATAATTAAGTCAAAATAAACTATTTTTTCATTGGGGGTTTTTTTTTTTTTTTTTTTTGTGGTTTTTAAATTCTCCTACGTATTTCTTTAAGAAATTAAATCTTTTCCTTTCTTTTATACTAATTTAATTAAGTTTAATTTAGATTTACTTAGTTTTAGTTTAAGGTTTAGTTTAGTTGACTTTAGTTTTAGATTTAGTTGCATTTACTTTAGTTTCGGTTTATTTTCTCCCATTTTGTTTGTTTGTTTAAATCATGCAATGCATTCTAGTTTAGGTTTTAATTTCCTTAGGGTTTTCTTTTTTTTTGTTTTGTTTTCAATAAAAAATTGTTTCACTTTTCGACTGCTTCTTCGCGTTCATCTCCAAGTCCTCTACATCATCCTCATCATCCTTTATTGTTTAGTTTAACATAATAATTGTTCTTATTCGGTTTTCGTTTCCATTTTTTTTTTTCATTTTAGTTTGTCGTTTAATAAATTGGTCTTTGCTTCGGCTTTCGATTTAGCTACTGAATACATTACTATAATACATATAAAGTCAAATATGATCTTATTTGTTGTGTTGTCGCGGGTACATCTGTGGGTATATACTCTCTAGACCTTCTGTACATGTATGTATATTAGTATATGTATGTATTTATATTTATATATGTATGTGTGTGTGTGTGTGTGTGTGAGGTGTTTATCTGTATGTATAACACTACATATTTGTTGCATACCCCATTCTACATACAATAGTTGAAGGAGCGGGAAAAAGGAAGGGACTGGAATCTGTTCTGGGGTTGTTGGGGGGCACCCTCTATTTTTGTACATATAGTATACTATAGTTCTGGGCGTGTAAATGTACCCAAAAAAAAAACTGCTATTTCGGCTTGGGTATTCAGGTATTCCTGGTATTCGATGGACGATTGAGAGAACTTGTATCCAGTTCAGTTCGGTACTAGGATCAGGCGTGTGCAACACTTTGTGATTTTCGCAGTACCCCACGAGCTCTACAATTCGCTGAAGAAAAGAATATACACATACACAAGATAAATTTATCATGTATGCATATGGAATTAGAATCCGTATTAGAAAAATATACAAAAACAACACACAAAGTAGACAACACAGACAGGCAGGACATGGGACTGGACAAACGACAGGGCAACAGGGCAGCAGGGACGACTGGACAAGTACATACTACATCCGAAAGGAACAACGTTTAGCCAAAGATATGGTGTGGTGCTCATTCATGAATTCAGCTGTGTCGAGTGTCGTGTGTCCTGTGTCTGCAACTGCAACTGTATTCCAGCTCAAAATGCGTCTCAAAATCATGTTTTATTATAAAGTGATTCTGTTGGTTTTCTTGTTGTGCTTCGTAATTTTTTTTTTTTTGTGGGTTCAGTTTTTAGACAAAGATTCGCTTGAATTGTTTGATTTTGCTTTTAGTTTTTGTTTTCGGTATTTTGTATAATAAAGACCTGCCATTTGAAATTTCGGTCCCTCATATCAAAGTTTTGGTTTTGGTTTTGGTTTTGTTTTAAGTTTTAACTTGTTTATCATTTTTGTGGGGCTTAAGGAAACCAGTTGAAGCGGGAATTTGTTCTTGTACCAATTATTCGTTTCGATTCAATTCGATTTGATATATCGCTTATCGACACATATGTATGTACATTGTACATACATATATCGATATATTTTTTCGTTTAAAGTTGTTGTTGTTTTGTTGTTGTTGTAGAGTTGAAACCCAAATATGCATCAATACATAACTTTAAAGCTGGGCGTATGCGTATTCCATGTCAGTGTCTTGTGTAGGTTTGTTTGTCTGTGTTCTGACTGTGTGTGTGTCTGCTTAGTTTGTTATGTTATGTTATGTTATGTTATGTTATGTTATGTTCTGTACTGTAATTGTTTTGCTCTTTTCCGATCGGTTCGGATCTGTTTTATATTTGTGATCTGTTCTTGTTCTGTGTCTTGTGTAGATCTTTTGTTATTTATTTTATGATAAAGCTATTTTGACAGCAGTCTTGAACGTTCATTTCAATTTAAATATTCAATATTATAAATAGGTATACACACATTTTTGTTAAGGGTTCGTTTAGTTCGTTTGTTTCGTTTGTCTTCTCCTTTTTGTTTTGTTTTGAAACTCCTTCGCTCTTCTTAGGATTCCTCTTCCTGGCTCTATCTATCTCTCGGGGATATATTTTTGTATATTACTCGTTAGTTACACCTATCAGACAGTTGAGAAACTTTTGGTTTTCTTTGCTTTTCTTTTCATTATTTGAGGGGTTGGGAAGGGGATTCCAAATCAAAGTCAATCTCGTGGACTGTCGCGAGGTGCGGGGCGCTGTGGCTGTTGTGGGGATGTTGGTCTTTAAAGGGAAACTCCGATACGTTAATTGGCTTAAGGGATCTACAGCACCTATGGCTATATATAGTCTATAGATTAAACAGATATTTTGATCCTTGCTGGCCCTTGGTGGTTCTGTACGGGTTCTACATATTCGGTTCTAGAGCTTGTTGCAGGGGCATGGACAGGGGGCTAGGAACGGGTTCGGGGTCGAGGTCGGGGACTGGGGCACTATCTGGGGAATTCAGTTGTATATCTTGTTTGCTCCTCCTTGTTTTGTTGAGTCCTTACAAAGCATTTGTTGAAGTTATGCATTTACCTAGTTTTTACCTTATTCTCTCTAAGTTTCGAGTAACTTCGATGCCCTCTGTTAATACTTGTAATAGTAAGTATATGTATATATATTATATATATATAGAGTATATATAATTCCTTTTAGAATCTTTAGAAAATCTTTACGTAGCTCGGCCACTTCTGCTATTATGACTACTCGTACACTATATCTTTTGTTTGGGGGGGTTCCTCCTACAGCTCCTACACCTCCTACACCACTCTGTTTCCCACCTGCTCTGCCCTCTATTCTGGTTCTATTCTGGAGCCTAGATTTAGTTCTGTTTACCGGCTAGGGTAGGGGTTTCTTGTAAATTAATGTGAATTTCTAAATGTAATATGTTACAAAAGTTCAATTAAAATTGTTCTCTTCTCTTTATATCGATTTGATTACTCCTACTTTTACTTTTACTTTTAATTTACTTTCATTTTACTTTTTAATTCGTTTCTGTTTTTTGTATTTATTTTTGTTTGGGTTTCCATTTAGTCTAGTCTACTATCAATGTCTTCTCGTCACGTAAGTAACTCCCTCGAAAGCTAGTCAGGTTCTTAATTGAGTTCATAATTTCTTTTGGTAGAAAAGAAAAAGGCAAAAAACAACGAACAACTCGAAATATGTACCGATATATATATACATAGATACATATATATATAGGTATGTAGAAAATGAAGACAACAACAAACGTGTTTCCATTAAATTGGTTTTTGGTTTTTGTTTCATTAGTTTAGTTAAAGCCAGACGCTAGTAGATGTACAATAGTATGTACTACTTTTTTGTGGGTTGTTCCTCACTTCTTTGTTCTTCGTTTGATTTTGGTTACTGTTTCAACGCGATTTCTAGTAGATAGTTCTTATAACATCTTACGCTCTACAGTTATACATATAGTGGGTTCTTGTTCTTGTTGTATATATAATTGTTCTAGTTGTTGTTTTTCGTTTTTCCATTTACATTTTGCATTTTTTCATTACATAAAACACACACAAAAATGCGTACAGAGAGGAAGGACATGTTCTGAATAGGCGTTGATTGGCAGAGGGTATGGTCGTAAGAAAAGTGTTGCACATAAAAGATATTACAGGAAGTGCGGCTGGGTGGTTAGGGAGTGTTCCAGCGAGTGTATGTAAAAATAGGTTCTTTGAGCGCTTCAGTTTGCTGTGGTGTGGCATTTTTTTTATGATCTGTGGATGATAAAGCACGCCTCTTCCATCGTACAGATTCCGATCACATCCGGAACATCCCATTCCCTCTCGAACACACATACACACACACACTTATGCAAGGAAATATGTATATACATACTTATATACTTGTATATAATTTTAGTAGTATGCAAAACACAGGCCCACCTCTCGGTGCACCAAAGGTGAAAATTACAAATATTTTTCTATAGCCTAAAACTTAGAAAAAAAAATATTACACCATTGTATATAGTAAGTATATTTATGTATATGTTTTTCGTTTCTTTTCGGGGCTATATATACATATATTTCCATAAGAGTGTGTGTGTGTGTGTGTGTGTACAACACAGACAGACATACATACATATACATATATGCACGTAAGTATATAACATATGTTTAATGTATGCATATTTCGTATGTATGTATATATGCTAGCGTTTTTCCTTTTCAGTTTTGAGTTTTGAGTTTTGTTTGTTTCTCATTCCGAAGAGGCTTTATTTACAAAAGGCCGACATTCGAAATTCGACTTGTAGAATTACTAATATTACTATTACCACTATTATTTACTATTTACTATTATTACCTAGCACTATTACTACTATTATTGCATACACGTTCTCTCTTTCTAGTAAACTTATTTTCAGTGATCTTTTTTGAGGCAACCACTGAGGCGGCTGTGCCACTCGTCGTCGTCATCGTCATCGGCATCGATGTCGTCAGTGCTGCAGTCAGTGGGTCCGTTATTGTTATCGATTTCACAATGCCACTGGCACTGGCACTGCCACTGCCATCGCTAGCGTCGATTTGCTTTGGCGTCAGGGCCGCTTTTCGGCTGAATACCGGCGCTGAGCTCGATGATGGTACAGTCATCGTACACATCTCTATGACATTTTGGTCCGGTGAACTGTTGCTGTTGCTGCTCGTGTTCGTGTTCGTATTTGTTGGCGATTCAATATCCTCTGGTATGACCGGTGGTATTGTTTCACCAACGCGATGCAACAGGTATTCCAGTGACTGTGATATTCCCCGATATTGTACGGATTGTGACTGCGACTGCGACTGCGATTGGGATTGGGATTGCGATAACGACGGCGAATGCAAACGTTGCCTCAGCGCGGTCTCAGCGCCTAGTGGCGGCGACGACAACATGGCTTTTGGTTTTGACATAGACATTGACGTTGACGTTGACGTTAATGTTGACGTAGTTTTGGGGGATGGGAGCTTTAATGGTAGCATCTCGATGTTAATCACGGAACTGGAGCGCTCTCTTCTCTCTGATATTCAGCTGCCGTATTTGTTGGAAGATGCGTAGCTATTAACTGCAGATCCATTTGATGGCATGTGAGTATCAGGCACTAAATGTGGTGTTCTACTAGATATAGGTGGCAAAATAGGGCTTGTTGGCCAATGGTAAGTAGCAGCGGCGTTATTGGATGAGGGAACACTTCTATGCAAAAAGCATTATTCGATTGTTAATTGTCGTTGTTGTTATCAAAGTACGCTTTCGAAAAACAAATTTAACTTTGGCGATTCTGTATGGGTGTGTATCTGTATCGATGGATCAGTGGATCAGTGATCGGTGGATCGGTGTATCGGTGTGTGTATGCATGAAAAATCAATGAAAGATCAATGAAAATGTATAGAAAGATATATTCTTATGATATTGTGATAAAGCGATGAGATTGAAATTAAAAAAAATATATGTAAATTTGTAATCCCTAATCTGAGTAACTGTCTATTTATCGAAGAGAGCGATAGCGTCGATAAAATATCGATGGGAATTCAAAACAGCTCATCCAGCATTATATTCTTGCAATTTGCTCTGCCATGCTCTGTCGTCCCTCAATCAAAGCGTCACAGTCGTAAATCATATGAATCTTGCATAGAAGATGGAGAAGGAGGATGTTGGTTTTTTTTCTTTTTGGATTGTTTGGGGGGTTGGTGGGAGGTATCATAGAGTTTTGGGGATGTAATTTGGAGGATTCAAGTGTGCAAGTGGACATCAAGAAAATTTATGTGTATAATATATATTTACAAATGAACACTAGATGATGGCATGGCATGAGGCGCAGCCCCGCACAATTCACAGACAACGAAAACAAATTGAAATGACAGGCACAAGATTCGCTTTAATGATAGACATGTGGATGTGGAATGATGGATGGGGATGGTGGATGGGGGATGGGGATGGGGGATGGGCAATGATGATGAAGAGATGAGTGGATGTGGATAATGAACATGACAAAGACACAATGAAAGATAGAGACGAAGAAAGAGTGGAGCTAGGAACTCACCTTGAATGGGGGAACAGCATGGGGGCTGCATTGAACATCGATTGGGGCGTTGGCTGTTGGATGGGGGCTGCAGCAGTGTCTGGGTGTAAAAAGTTCCGTCGTTGCTCGATGCGCTCCTGGTGTTGGGTCAGACAACGAGACAATAGGTCCGGAAGGCTTTCCATGTGCTCCTGTGGGATGGATAATAGCAAACATACATAACCACATATAAACAAACATATTGTGGAGTGTGCATATAAAACATATGTGTGTGAAGTGGACTCAGTGGCATTCAATCAGTGCATCGAGCATTGATGTTATTGCAAATGGTGTATGGGATGGGATTTTCAATACGATTGTTTGTCATACTTGTAGGTTCTGCATTTTGTCCTCTAGATTTGTTAGGCGTTCCTCGATGGCATCCTGGCGGCTAGACATGTCCGATATTATCTCGTAGACGGTATTTTGTGTCTGTGAATGTGAAATGCATTGGTATCGTGTATCGTGTATCGGCATATTTGATACAAATGTACATAAATAACACATTATAAATACGAGAATTGCACAGATATTCTATAAAGGTTATATTTTTGATTGCTAGCTACCTTGGCCATATCGGTTATTGTGTTGGCATTATCCATTAGTTTGCGCTGATCCATTTTAACTTTTCGCAACCTGCATCGCATTGGAAGAGTCATCAACATTATAAAGATTACATTATTTCAGTACATTCACAAAGTGGTTGCGCCAACGCACATTAGCACTAAAATCTCATTCTATTTGCAGTTAATTTGTTGTTGGTTTTTTAGTAGGAGTAGCTGCTTCTTGATCTCCATACTTTTCATTCCCTTTACGACCTTACAACGTTACAACCTTATAGCCTTACAACTCTGTTATGCACACGATCCGATCCTGTGTTTGGAATCGGGGATCGTTTTGTTCCGGCCTGCCGGAAGATCAGTTTTTGATGGATTATTTTCGAATCGGACAACGATTACAGCACGTTTCAGAACATTTCAGAAAGCCGGTTATAGAATATATGATTAATCATGGCAATATATGTATAAATAAATACGAGTATATCGAATAAAAGCGAATACAAAAATGCAAATAACTAATTGTTCTCAAAAGATATTTATGCAAAAGGGATTTGCTCGTAAAATTGTGGAATAATAAGAGGAATATAGACGGCAGTCTTACAGTTCTGAGACGCACTGCATTAGAAAGTTCACTGAAAATCTTTTTATTTTTTATATATTTATTTGGTTTTTTTTTTTTTTGCGGGTGTAAAATTTGATGTGCCGTTATGGGTAGATATTTGATTAGATTATAGAAAAAAGAAAATTCATATATATATATTTTTTTTTTTTTTTTGTGGCGCTAAAATTACAGAAAATCGTATCGTGAAAATATCATCATATCTTTTCAGCCTTTAATCATCACTGAACCATCACTAGATCGTAACGATCCTAGCTACAACGAGTCACAAGTGTTTTGTTGTTGTATGAGTGGAAAAGTAGAGATTGGGGATAATAGATCGGGGTATATTAGGGAGCACAGAGTGGGAGAGTGAAAAGAGAACAGAGGATCTGGACAGAGTACATAGTGTTCAGAGTGAGAGTTCAGAGTGCTCAGAGTGTGTGTGTGTGTTTAAATGGGATGTTTCTCGCTGTGCTGTTGCTGTTACTGCTGTTGCTGCTGCTGCTGCTGCTGCTGCTGCTAGATGGATGCTGGAGGTATAGCTGTACAGATGGCTGTGTAACGTGTGGCACAACTGTTGGCACTTGGGCAGAAGCTTGATGATATTGCGATAGTTTTTGATACGAGATTCTAGAATATTAACGCTGCATGCTAGATTATGTGGCTAGTCTCGGTTATTGCATAACGTAAAAACAGGGCTTTACAACCTATTTACAGGCTAGTAAAACGAGTTCAATCTTATTGGTTTTTCATTTACTTTTAGTATTTTGTTGTAATTGGTAGTTAACTGTTTTAGTACATCGATTAATTCATTGATTTTGTTTGGTTATTCGTTATATACAAATCACAGACTCTGATGGGAGGCTTTCCGCGTACCGTCAAAGCTTGCCTACAGTTTTTTTTTTTTTGTTTGATGAGTATATGAAATAGGTTTCGAACAGAGTATGAATCTACTTATTTATGCATGAAGTATCACAGAGAACGTGGACTGGGTACTGGGACTAAGGTGGGAATTGGGGATTGGTACTGGTACTGTTACTGTTACTGGAAATGGTACTGGGGATTGGATTGATCTGACAAACATGTTACATATAGTAGGACAAATGAGAGGTATGCCATAAGATTGACAGGACAAAGAGAGAGAGACAGAGGAGAGACAGAGCGAGAGAGAGAGAGACACAGAAAGAGAGTGACAGAGACAAACAAAAACAAACAAGGACTAGTCACAAATTGCTTCGATGATCGATCGTTTCGTTTCGTTTCGTTCCTCCCCAACACTGAAAACGGATATACTCGTATCTCTTGATAGTTTTCTTTTTTTTTTTGGATATATGTACTCTATTTTCGATATTCGATAATTGATTTAGTTTATTTAATCTCTTTAACTCTTTAATCTTTAATCTTTAGTGGCAGCCTGACATTTAGTTTGATAGTTAGATTTTTTGTTGGTAGGTTGGTTTTTTTTGTTGGTTGATTGATAGATCTCTAAAAATACTCACGCATATATAGCTAGAAGGAACTTTCTTTGGTGGGTTCTTACACGGCCGGGATTAACCCGTTTTACTAGTCTTGTATGTTTGTAAATGAGCCAAGTTTCACGAAGAACATTCGCCGCAGCATTTTTCAGCTAAATTTTGGTTCAAAGAAGAAATGTATACAAAGGAAATTAGAATGCATCTTTTGATTATATGTTACATATGGTGATAGTATGTAGTATCTGGAATGGATAAACCCAGGAGTCAGAGTCCGCTGTCCGTTTTGTCGTTGTCCGTCCATTCCGGTTTAATTTCTGTTTCGTTAAGGTTCGTTTTGGGTTTGGGTTTGAGTTTGGTTTTCGGTTTTCGGTTTCGGTTGTGTTCCGTTTTGTTGTTAGGGTTGAGAGTTGGGTTGAATTCCAAATTGAAGGACGATCTATACCCTTTTGGTTAACTGCGTGTCCATCATGAAGTTGTGCACATGCTTCTCGGCACGGGTCAGCTCCAGTTTACGGGATACGACGGCCACGAGCAGCGCCGTGCAGCCAGCACCCTGTAAGAACGATGCACAATATGTTGAGATTTGATTGTGATTGCCTCTGAGTCAAAGGTGAGTTTCGGTCGTCCACTCCACTGACATTGACACCCAACTCAGTCGTCGTAGTGCGTGTGTGGAATGGGTGGATGTGTGTGGCATGGCAGCATGGTGTACGAGTATATTCTGAGTGTTGTTTGTGTGTGTTTGGGGCACTCGTCTGAGTTGGATGTCAGCCAATCTCTGATGTCAGTTTGTTATTTCATTCAGTTTTTGCTTGTTTCATTGTTTATACATTCAAATGAATTTGTTTATCGAGTTATAGTCCAGAACTTGTTGTTGCTCGCAAAATACACACAGACTTTTATGGATGTTACAGCATGTACATAGGTTATGTTTCTGTTTCTGTTTCTTTTTGTTTCTTTTTTGCTTTTATTTTCTTTTCGTTTCTTCTCGGTTTTCATCATTCATTTTTGTATGTTGTTTCGGTATTCTCTCGATGACTGAATGAATGAATGAATGAATGTGTGAACAGTGAATGCAAATGTTCCTTCGACTAAATTAATGTGCGATCGGTAGATGACAAATGCATATAGGTATGTATATTCTTTTTTTAGAATTTAAAGATACAGAGATGTTAGATGTTTGGGTTAGGTTTTTTTTTTTGGTTTTGGGGGGATTAGTTTCAAGTATTATATTATGTGGGTACTATTCGGAATGGAGTTAAAGTTAAATAAATACGATATTTGGTTGGATTTGATTGGCACATGTCTATGTAGTATTACAACAAGTTAGAGGTGTCTGGCAGAGAGAGATAGAGAGCGAGAGAGAGAGAGATACATACACACAAACGTACGTAACGATTAGCTAGAGAACAAAGTCTAGTCAAGTTAGGAGTTGAAATACATAATTTGGTTTATTTTGAATTTATTGTATCATAGCTTTTACTGCGACTACGACATGATCAAATATGTCTAAGAAAAAAGCAGAAAGAAAGACTGGTAGAAATTTAGTTGAATATAGTATATGGAGAATATATTGGATGGAGATAGAGATAGAAAGTAAGCCACACAAAAGCATAATTTGATAGAAGTACAGACAGAGAGAGCGAGAGCGGGAGAGAGAGAGAAATATATATAGGGCGAAAGAGTATACAGACATACATATTTAATAGTAGTGGAGTGGAAAAGGTGTGTACTAATTATTGTAATAGGCAGAAGGTGCCCTAAGCGCATGGCTATACGAGTATATCCACCATGAACAGAGTCGCAGAGTTTTAAATAATTCTGTTGTTCGGCCTTTGCCCATCTCTAATGGCATTCATTTGTTGCCTGTTTTGTGCGACTCGGCAGCAATTCTAGTTGCTCTTCTGTTCTTCTAATCTTAGGCTAGACTCAAATGTGACCGAATCCAGGGACAATCGCGTAGCTAAAGCTCTCTTTATATGGAGATTTCACAAAATATTTAATTTACGTATATATGTTTGTATATGTATGTACATTTACCTAGGAATAGGACACGATTCTAGTGTTTTTTTTTTTTTTTTTTATTAAAAGTGGCTGCGACGGGCGTTTTGTTGTGGAGCGGGTGGGCGGGCAACATTCGTATGCAGTTTATGTAATTATTTACAAGTGATTTTTATCGGTAGATTGAAATCGATAGGTACTATTTGAAAATAGTTGATTGATCAATAAATGATAGTTCTTGGTTTTTTTTTTTTTTTATGTTGTGTGCAATTGTTGGTAATAGTTTTGTTGTAGTTGTAGTTGTTTGTTAAAAACTCACCATTATTCCTGTACTGACAGCGATACCACGTCCACAGTACGTATTCGGAACAATATCACCGAAACCAACACTCAAAAATGTTATCGCTATCAGCCACATTGCATTCAAAAGATTCGCATGTTCTTCATCATGAAATCTGTTCCATAATCGAGGTCGCGACAATATATATATATATATATATATTTTGGTTTCGGTTTTGTCATAAATATTTGTTTTTGATATTTGCATAGGGCATATGATAAATGGGGGTTTTTTTTTTTTTGGTTCGCATATAGATCACAAAGATCAGTTGAAGTTTCATTTCAGGGGGGTCAAATTGCATACACGCGTTTTGTTGTTGTTTTTTTTATATTTTTTAAATGAAAGGGAAAGAGAGATAGAGAAAAATATCGTATTGTTGGCTTAATGTACAAATAAACTTTAAGAATTCGTTTAAAAACAAAGTTGGCTTAAGTAAATTCAAGATATTCATCAAACAGAACGAAAGGCATACATACGTATAAAACAAACGAAATCATAACGAAAAGCATGGAAAAGAAAGCTTAAAAGAACGGAAAATATATGAAAGCAACGGAAAAATAACGAAAAAACTTAAAGAAAATCAAACAAAAAGTAGTAGTTGAAAATGATGGAACGTTGAAACGGGCATTCTGCAGAATTGGAAACAAGTGGAAGAAATGGACGAGGCACACAGGTACAGTAGTGGTCAAAAGAACGTTGGTTTGGATTTGGTTTTGGTTTGGTTTTGAGGTTATGTACAGGCGACGCAACCGTTAGTTGTCGTTTTTTGGTGGATAGCGGAAGAAGTATGTACACACTGGGTGGAGGAGGTGGTGTTGGTTCTTCTGGATGTACAAGCAAAAGGTGGGAGCTGTGATCTGTGATCAGATGTGTGTGTTTTTTTTTGTATTCGTTTGCTTTTGATGGAGACGTAGTACGATTGTAATAGTTGGACCATCTAGGATTTTGTGCACAAACAAAAGAAAAGCAAACATACACGCACACATTCAATTTCATACACACGCCACAGGCACACACTGGGAAAACATTAATAGAATTTGCCGGAGCTGTCAACAAAGATTTGTTTGTTGAATTTCTGCTGTCGTTTCGTTTCGCTTCAGCCTCAGCTAAGAATGAGAGACAGAGACAGGGGGAGAGAGAGAGAGAGAATTGTGTTGTTGTTGCTGTCCTGCCTCCTTGGGAAATGGTTATGAAGGGAATGGCGGAAATGGAAATAAAAGTTTCGCTCTTTAAAGCAGAAATAGTGACAAATACACACAAACATATAGTACAAATGGTGGGTCGCTCTTTGGTCTGTTGTGTGAAGGTGTGTGTGTATGTGTGTGCTCTTATGTACAGAGTGTATATATATATATATACTTATATAATGTATGCATATGCTTATATTACAGCGACTCAAACACACACTCACACACACACACGCAGTGGGTGGAGATTTTGATAATGATTTACAACAGTGTAAAATTCACATGTAGATATACACACACTCATGTAGATGTATGTATCATGTATGTATTCATGTAGTAGATATGTATATATGCATGTCATGTCATGTCATGTATGTAGATATAGTATTTTGATATTTATATTTATTTATCGCTGGAAATGAACTGCCCCACAAAAAGAAAAGAAAACTGAAACAACGTAAAACCCCCCACCAGACACAGACACAAACAGAGGCATAGAGAGAGAAAAAGAGAGAGAGAGAGAGAGACAGTCGCCCTCCCATTTTTTGGCGACGATGTGGGCAGACAGAACGGCATCATCTCAATATGTACGGATGGATATATGGTTATGGCCATGGGTGTAGGAGTACTGCCACGAGTGCCTCCCATCAGAATGGATTGTTGTGATATAGGAATTTGAATTTATATACATATATAGTGTATTTTCTCTGTGTGTGTTTTTATAAGTGTGTGTGCTGGGGCGTGGGCGTGTAGGGTAGATGAGGAGCTGTGCTGGTGGTATGAACTCAAACCAACCCGTAGAAAAGCTGGGTCAGGTCAGGGGGTCGGATTTGGTTGGATCGGATCGGATCGGGTCAGTATACACACCCACAAACGACGCTGCATGCGTGATTTGACAGGTACAATTACTATAATATATACTATATGTATGTTCGAGTTGTCTGCTTTCTTTTTTAGCCTCGCGATATGAACCTTGGGGGCGGTAGGCGCCTTAAAGGCGGTACTTCCTCTTCGAGGAAAAATATTTGAAAGGAAAGCGATTTCTCGTATCGTATGTGCACACAAATTGGTTTTTGGCATATGCTGTTGCTGTTGCTATTTCTATTGTTGTTGTTGTTGTTGTTGATGATGTATGTTCTTGTTGTTTGTTTGTTTTTTGAAATAGTAATAGTAGTTGTTGTTTCTAGTTCTGTTGTAGTTTATTGTTTATAGTATTTCTTATTATGGTATTTATTTATTGTTTGTTTGCTTTCTTTCTTCTTTTTTTCTATTTTTTTTTTTGCAACTGTTCTGTTCTGTTCTATTTTTTTTCTTTTGTTGTTTTGTTTAGGTATCATAAATGGAGTTTTTTGTTTGGTAGTTTTTTTGGGTATTTTGGGGTAGTTTTTGGGGTACTTTTTGGGGATCTTTTTTGTAGGAAATACTTACCACCATGCCGCAGGTGAGGGTGATACCGCGTCCACAGTATGTGTTTGGCACAATGTCGCCGTAGCCGACACACAGAAATGTGATGGCAGTGAGCCACATGGAGTTTAGCAAATTCGCGTGCTCCTCATCGTGGAACCTTCCGCATGGTACAGAAAATTTTTCAGATACATATGTCGAATGTTGGTGGTTTATTTTTTTTTCGATATTTTATTAATTGTTTGCGGTTTTCAACCAGGATTTGGTTTTTTTTTATAATACATTTTTTTTTATGGTGTGGGGAGGGGCAACAAATTATAGTTTTTCATTTATGATACGTATTTATTTTTGTTTGATTTATTTGGTATTTAGCGGTTTTTGGTAATCGGTTTACGTTTTTCAGTAAATATTTTTGATTCATTTTTTGTATTTCAGAGGCGTAAAGCGTATTGGTTGCGGTATTTTTTCGGTAGTTGTTGTATTTGTTGGTATTTTACGATATTCGATTTCAATATATATATTTTTTGGTTGTTGGTTGGTATTTTTGCAATTTGTGGATACAGAAGTAGGGTGAGAAGTGGAGTAAACAAATAAACAGATGTGAAATTGTGAACATTTTTTGGTTTAAATTTTCGATTGTTTTTTTTTTTTTTTACTTTTGAAGAATATTTTTGGTATTTTTTGTTCGTTTTGATTATTTTTAGAAAATTTCCAAGTATCAAAGAATACGCATAAGTACAAAAGAAATTAAAGAACAGAGAGAAATAATTAAAAATAATCAAGAGGAACGTAAAACAATAAAGAAAAATAGTAATTAAACGTAAAACAAAGAAAAGGAAATTAAAGGAAACTAATTTTGTTTTTTCCTTTCGGTTTGTTGTTTTCTTTGGGCAACGAATTAAAAATCCTTAAATAGATTTGAAGAGCAACATAGAAGATAGATAGCTTGATAGAGACAGATATAGGGGAAGAGGGGGGAATTGTTGGATACGAATAATTGGAAATATACAATGACACGAATAATATTGAATAATTATAGTTTGAATAGTTTCGAATCGGCTAAAATTTCTCTTCCTCCTTCTTCTCCTCCTCTTGCTGCTGCTGCTGGGGCATGACACTTGTTTTTTTTTGTTTTTTTTTTTTTTTGGGGATCGGGTAGAGCGGTGATGCGTGGTTTTTTGGGTATTGGAAATGAGGACTTTTGAACGGTAACTCTGTATATATTGTATGACATGCAGGATGACTGAAAAAGGGCCATCAGAGAGCTGTCTGTCCCGCACTCCCTACCTGGGGGCACTCCCCCATATCTCCGCTGGGTGCCATCCACTATCTACTGGCTCTGTGTATCTGAGGTGTGTGTGTGTTTTTGCAATGTGAAAAATCATATGCCAAAAATGCCAAAAGCTATGTGTGTCTGTGTGTATGCTATCGTGTATTCCTAACTCCTGTGGGATCGTTTTTGGTCGCCTGGATTTGCCTTTTGTTTGCCCTATGCTGACTCGCGCGCTGGTTTTTGACTGGATGCATGCGTGTGGTGCTAAGGATCTCCAATAATACGCACGTACATACATACATACACACACGACATAGCAAGGATACACATACACATATATGGATGGATCACATACAAAGATATACATACCATACATACATATCCACTTACAATGAAATAAAGAAGAATGTACACAAATAGACGACAAATTTTTACTTTGTATGTATAATAATCCTTGAATAAAATAATACACGACTCCCATCTATACTTTAGATATTAAAAACGAAATAGTACTAAAGAATTTCTACCAAATGTTCTACGATAAACAAAAACATTGAGATAAGGAGTATTATAGGAATTTTGTAAGAAACCACAAAAGTTGTACCAACACATTAACTCAAAACCAATTCGGTTTAAAATATTTAGGATCAACATTGGATTCATATGTTTGTATGTAGATAAGATATACATATATGTATATGTGTCTGTGTTTATTTTTTGGATGGGAATAGGAAGATTTATAAGCAGAGATAAGTTCTAAAAGTGAAGTTGAAAAATTATTTCCTGTGTTATTTCTCTTTTATTTCTCATATACCATTTGTTTTGTTTTATTATTGCTGAGTTTGTACATTATTTACTGCATATATGTGTGTATGTATGTATGTATGCATATGTTTTCTTGGGTTGTTGAAGTTATGTCATTCAAAAATCAATGTACAGAAAGCCAAAGGCAAAACAAAAGCGCAAAAAAAACTAAAAAACAAAAATATTTTGATTTAAAGAAATCGATAGAGTTTGAATCATGTATAGGAAAACTATTATATAGGAGTAGCAGAAGCTGAATAGAAGGCTTAGTGAAAGTAGAAGGCTTGGAGAAAGTAGAAGAAAGAAGATGAAGGAGGATATGGAGGACTCAGTTTAAGCTGTATTTGTATTTGTATGTTTCCGTTCCTGTTTCTGTATGTTTATTGTCTCTGTTCTTCTTTGCAGACTTTCACACACACACACAAACACACAAACACACACACACAT